TTGGGGCATTCCAGAGGCGTGGAGTGGTGGTTGGGGCATTCCAGACGTGGGAATGGTGGATGGGGCATTCCAGACGTGTGGATGGTGGTTGGGGCATTCCAGACATGGGAATGGTGGGTTGGGGCATTCCAGACATGGGAATGGTGGTTGGGGCATTCCAGAGGTGTGGATGGTGGTTGGGGCATTCCAGACATGGGAATGGTGGTTGGGGCATTTCAGACGTGTGGATGTGATTGGCTGCGTCTGTTAGGAGGGTCTCCTGGTGTGAGCGGGCAGTTGCAGGGGCTATCAGTGCCCCCCCTCCCCCCTCTTTAACATGTCGCCGATTCAATATCGGCACGCTGTGTCCATTCATTCGCGATGTTGGTACTTGGCACTGCGTCGGGCCTGTTACAGCTGCGTGTTGTGTAGGACGCACGCTCACACGTGGCTATAAATAGATGTCGGCTCCAGTGGTTCTTGACCTTTTGCTGAGGCCTTGCATCCCTTTGATTCTCAATGGTAAAAAAGGCACAATGTTAATAACTAACGTCGAGGGTGTTGATGAAACGAAGTAAGTTGTGTTCTTACATTGCCCCGTGATTAATTTGCTTTCGATTATTTGCCTTCTAAAACAAAATGTCGGCCATGTCTCGCACAACCCCCCAGAAAGGGCTTTTCGCACCCCATGTTAAGAGCCACTGTTATAGACTATAGACTACACTATAGACTACACTATAGACTACACTATACACTACACTATAGACTACTCTATAGACTACACTATGGACTACACTATACACTACACTATAGACTACACTATAGTCTACACACTAAACTATACACTACACTATATACTACACTATACATTACACTATACACTACACTATAGACTACACTATACAATACACTATAGACTACACTATAGACTACACTACACTATAGACTACACTATACACTACACTATACACTACACTATAGTCTACAGACTACACTATAGTCTACAGACTACACTATACACTACACTATACACTACACTATATACTACACTACACACTACACTACACACTACACTATACACTACACTATAGACTACACTATACACTACACTATAGACTACAAACACAGTGCGCTTGCCTCACCTGCAAGTGTAGCTCACTCACAAGGTGCACTCTATAGACAATACTATAGACTACACTATAGACTACACTATAGACTATAGACTACACTATAGACTACACTATACACTACACTATAGACTACACTATAGACTACACTATAGACTATAGACTACACTATAGACTACACTATACACTACACTATAGACTACACTATAGACTACACTATACACTCCACTATAGACTACACTATACACTACACTATACACTACACTATACACAGCACTATAGTCTACAGACTACACTATACACTACACTATAGACTACAAACACAGTGCGCTTGCCTCACCCGCAAGTGTAGCTCACTCACAAGGTGCACTCTATAGACAATACTATAGACTACACTATAGACTACACTATAGACTATAGACTACACTATAGACTACACTATACACTACACTATAGACTACACTATAGACTACACTATAGACTATAGACTACACTATAGACTACACCATACACTACACTATAGACTACACTATAGACTACACTACACACTCCACTATAGACTACACTATACACTACACTATACACTACACTATACACAGCACTATAGTCTACAGACTACACTATACACTACACTATAGACTACAAACACAGTGCGCTTGCCTCACCCGCAAGTGTAGCTCACTCACAAGGTGCACTCTATAGACAATACTATAGACTACACTATAGACTACACTATAGACTATAGACTACACTATAGACTACACTATACACTACACTATAGACTACACTATAGACTACACTATAGACTATAGACTACACTATAGACTACACTATACACTACACTATAGACTACACTATAGACTACACTATACACTCCACTATAGACTACACTATACACTACACTATACACTACACTATACACAGCACTATAGTCTACAGACTACACTATACACTACACTATATACTATACTATACACTACACTATAGACTACACTATACACTACACTATAGACTACAAACACAGTGCGCTTGCCTCACCCACAAGTGTAGCTCACTCACAAGGTGCACTCTATAGACAATACTATAGACTACACTATAGACTACACTAGAGACTACACTATACACTATACTATAGATCACACACTCTATAGACAATACTATAGACTACACTATAGACTACACTCTAGACGATAGACTGCACTATAGACTACACTATACACTACACTAGAAACTACACTATACACTGCACTATAGATCACACACACTCTATAGACCAGTGGCTCATAACCTTCACTGCAGTCTTGCACGCCTTTGGTTCTCAATCGTATTTTTTTTTTACAAATAACATCAATAAAGTTGTGTCCTGACGTGGCCATGCTAAATTTGTGTTGTCGATTATTTACCTTCAAACCTGGCCACTTCTCTCACCCTCCCCACCCCCTGGGGAGATGCACCCCAGGTTGAGAACTACTTGTATATAACATATACATGTTGCACGTGTGTGTATGTATGTGTGTGCGTGTTTCACCGTATTTGATATTCAACAATAAAGCACTCTCGTGTCTAGGACGGTGAGGTTGTTGTTTTTTTTAAACTTCTGGCCGCGGGGAGCATCGTCAAGAAGCCGCCTATACGCAAAACGGCCTCCCATCGCGAAGGGGTCAAATCGACGCGACCACAAGTCACACCGTGGCGACCACGTGGCGATCACGCGGCGACCACGTGGCGATCACGTGGCGAACCGATGATGACACGTGGATAAACCGGAGCGGCACGTGGCCCGTTGGAATGCATAGCCACGCGCAGAGATTTCAGTTTCAGTTTTCATTTATTTGGTATAGCCATGTGAGCCATTCGGCTCTTGAATCGGGTGCAACCGCAACAAACAAAAAACATGAACAAGAAAACATCTTAAAGTGACTATGTGTGACTGGGCAAACAGAAAATCCAGGAAAAAAAAAGCAAATATTCCTGAAAAAGCACCATACACCAACGCTGTGTGCAAAAATCCCAGTGGGATGCAAGTCAAACAACAACCACAAGACAACTTAGATTAAGGCCATCAGACTAACTCTGTACTACAACAAACATGGCCAAACCAAAAAACTAAATCACCAAAATAAAGCCATAAAAGCAATGTAACAGTGATCATAGGAACTGTGACCGAATTTTCACAATAAACGACATAATCAACAGATGCATAGGCACATACTGTATGAGAGACACACATGTCCCCATAAAGATATATATACAGTATAGACGCTTAGAGATGGATAGAGATGCATCAAATACAAACCAAAGTGGTGCGATTGTGTCCATGCAACCCGCACAGTGAACCCATAGAGACCCATAGGGATACAGAGATCCATAGAGATACATAGATATATAAAGAGACCCATAGAGAATCATATAGACCCATAGAGATACATAGAGATGCATTAAAAACAAACCAAAGTGGTGCGATTGTGGCCATGCGAGTGACCCCATACAGACCCATAGGGACCCATAGAGATGCATAGAGACCTATAGAGATACATAGAGACCCATATAAATACATAGAGACCCATAGAGATACTAAGATACCCACAGAGATGCAAAGGGACCCATAGAGATACATAAAGACCTATGGAGATACATAGAGACCCATAGAGATACAAAGAGACCCATAGAGATACATAGAGACCCATAGAGATACTCAGAGACCCACAGAGATGCAAAGGGCCCATAGAGATACATAGAGACCCATAGAGATACATAGAGACCCATATAAATACATAGAGACCCAACAGCTACAATAGTGCCACTGTGGCCATGAAACCCAAACTATGGACGACTTAGCGAACCCACAGACACACACAGAGACACATACAGACCCATAGAACTGCCAGACTCATCTATACATATAGAAACGCATCGGAGTACACAGAGAGTATATAAAGCCCCATAGATACATACAGATATGCATTAAAGACAGACACAGCGGTGCGAGTGTGGCCATGCCACCAAACTCTACTGACCCCACAGTAAACCCACAGAATCACACAGAGACTCATAGAGACACCAATAGAGATACGTAGAGACCCATAGGGACGGCACAGTGAACCCACTGTGTTCTACGCTACTTCAACGGAGAAGGCGGAACAGCGACACGACACTCTCTCTGATAATGATGATGATGCCCTCTCGCGGTGGCCAGCAGCAACAGAGTGTGACATCGAGGTTAAGTCTATTAGTAATGTTAAGTCTATGGGTAATGTTCAGTCTATGGGTAATGTTAAGTCTACGGGTAATGTTAAGTCTACGGGTAATGTTAAGTCTACGGGTAATGTTAAGTCTACGGGTAATGTTAAGTCTATGGGTAATGTTCAGTCTATGGGTAATGTTAAGTCTACGGGTAATGTTAAGTCTACGGGTAATGGTAAGTCTATGGGTAATGTTAAGTCTACGGGTAATGTTAAGTCTATGGGTAATGTTAAGTCTACGGGTAATGTTAAGTCTACGGGTAATGTTAAGTCTACGGGTAATGTTAAGTCTATGGGTAATGTTAAGTCTACGAGTAATGTTAAGTCTACGGGTAATGGTAAGTCTATGGGTAATGTTAAGTCTACGGGTAATGGTAAGTCTATGGGTAATGTTAAGTCTACGGGTAATGTTAAGTCTATGGGTTAATGTTAAGTCTACCACACCCACCACCACCCCCACCCACCACCACCCCACCCACTACCCCCACCCCACCCACTACCCCCACCCCCACCTAACCACACCCTCACCTACTTCCACCCCACCCACTAACCCCACCCTACCCACTACCACCACCACCCCCACCCACCCCCACCCACTACCCCCACCCACCCACTACCCCCACCACCACCACCAAGGTGGGGGGGTAGTGGGTGGGGGGGTGTCCGGGCCTGCGGGGTCGAGGCCGCTGGGTGGCGCTCTCAGGGTCCCCCCGACTCGCGACGGACGCCGCGGTGGCCATGGCCGCCCAGCATCTGCTGCTGTGTCTCACGGCCAGCGGAGGTGTCCCTCTGTTCACTCGGACCCAGGGACACGTGAAGCAGGTGTCTCATGTCTCTGTGTGTGTCTCTGTGTGTGTGTCTCACGCCGTGTCTGTGTGTGTGTCTCACGCCGTGTCTCTGTGTGTGTGTCTCACGCCGTGTCTCTGTGTGTCTCTGTGTGTGTGCCTCACGCCGTGTCTCTGTGTGTGTGTCTCACGCCGTGTGTCTCATGCCGTGTGCCTCACGCCGTGTCTCTGTGTGTGTCTCACGCCGTGTCTCTGTGTGTGTGTCTCTGTGTGTGTCTCTGTGTGTCTCACGCCGTGTCTCTGTGTGTGTCTCACGCCGTGTCTCTGTGTGTGTGTGTCACGCCGTGTCTGTGTGTGTGTGTGTCTCACGCCGTGTCTCTGTGTGTCTGTGTGTGTGTGTATCACGGCCAGTGGAGGTGTCCCTCTGTTCACTCGGACCCAGGGACACGTCAAGCAGGTGTCTCGTGTCTCACGCCGTGTCTCTGTGTGTGTGCGTCTCTGTGTGTGTCTCTCTGTGTGTCTCTGTGTGTGTGTCTCACGCCGTGTCTCTGTGTGTTTCTCTGTGTGTGTGTCTCTGTGTGTGTGTCTCTGTGTGTGTGTCTCTGTGTGTGTGTCTCACGCCGTGTCTCTGTGTGTGTCTCTGTGTGTGTCTCACGCAGTGTCTCTGTGTGTGTCTCTGTGTGTCTCTGTGTGTGTCTCACGCTGTGTCTCACGCTGTGTCTCTGTGTGTGTGTCTGTGTGTATGTGTCTGTGTGTGTGTCTGTGTGTGTGTCTCTGTGTGTGTCTCACGCTGTGTGTGTGTCTGTCTGTCTGTGTGTGTCTGTGTGTGTCTGTGTGTGTGTGTGTCTGTGTGTCTGTCTGTCTGTCTGTGTATGTGTGTCTGTGTGTCTGTGTATGTGTGTCTGTGTGTCTGTGTATGTGTGTCTGTGTGTGTCTGTGTGTGTGTGTCTGTGTGTGTCTCTGTGTGTGTGTGTGTCTGTGTGTGTCTGTGTGTGTCTCTGTGTGTGTCTGTGTGTGTGTATATCTATATGTCTGTCTGTGTGTATGTGTGTGTGTCTGTGTGTGTCTGTGTGTGTCTGTGTGTGTGTCTGTGTGTGTGTGTCTGTGTGTGTGTCTGTGTGTGTCTCTGTGTGTGTGTGTCTCTGTGTGTGTGTGTCTCTGTGTGTGTCTGTGTGTGTGTCTGTGTGTGTGTCTGTGTGTGTGTGAGTCTACGTCGTGCGAGCCACTTCGAGGCGCCCTTCCCGCTGTTTTTTTTTCCCCATCGAACGATTCTCGCAATTTAGTCACGGCAATTTGCATGGGGGGGGGGGCTGTTGATTGTATTCGTTAATTAGTTCGCGTTGATTGTATTCTTTAATTAGTTCGCGTTGATTGTATTCGTTAATTAGCTCGCGTTGATTGTATTCGTTAATTAGCTCGTGAACTCACGAGAAAGAGAGGCGAGAGAGAGAGCTGAGGCCTGGTCCGGTGTTTTGAAGCCTTCGCCTCGCTCTTGATCATCATCCATCATCATCACCACAGCCTGCGATCTCGTTTGGTGTTGTTTGTTATTATTTATTGTTGTTGTTGTTGCTGCTAGGATTGTGTTGTTTGTTGTTGTTGAGCCGGTGAGCGGTGTTTTGTTTTAGCCGTGAGGTTTGTGGTGAAGTTGGGGCGAGCGCGGGGCGGTTGCCATGGCGACGCCGCTGAGCGCGCCGCCACGCGGTGACTCGTCAACATCGTCAACAACAACATCGTCATCAACAACAACATCAACAACATCATCAACATTACTACCATCAACAACATCACCATCATCAACATCATCACCATGGTCAACATCATCACCATCGACATCGTCAACATCAACATCGTCAACATCAACATCGTCAACATCATCACCGTCATAACCATCAACAACATCAACATCGTCAACATCATTATCATCAACATCACCATCAACAGCATCAACATCACCATCATCAACATTACCACAAACATCATCACCATCATCACTTTCATCATCATCAACATCACCATCAACATCGTAAACATCGTCAACATTACTACCATCAACATCACCATGAACATCGTCAACATCACCATCAACATCGTCAAAATCGTCAACATTACTACCATCAACAGCACCATCAACACCATCATCAACATCAACAACATCATCACCATCATCACCATCAACATCATCACCATCAACAGCATCAACATCATCACCATCATCAACATCGTCAACATCAACATCGTCAACATCACCATCATTAACATCAACAACATCACCATCGTCAACATCATCACCATCAACATCGTCAACATCATCATCGTCAACATCACTATCATCAACATCACCATCAACAGCATCAACATCACCATCATCAACATTACCACCAACATCATCACCATCATCACGTTCATCATCAACATCACCATCAACATCAACATCGTCAACGTCGTCAACATTACTACCATCAACATCACCATCATCACCATCAACATCGTCAACAGCACCATCAACACCATCATCAACATCATCACCATCATCAATATCACCATCAACATCATCACTTACATCAACATCATCACAATCATCTACATCACCATCATCACTTTTATCATCATCAACATCACCATCAACATCGTCAAAATCGTCAACATTACTACCATCAACATCACCATCAACATAGTCAACATCACCATTAACACCATCATCAACATCACCATCAACATCGTCAAAATCATCAACATTACTACCATCAACAGCACCATCAACACCATCAATATCACCATCAACATCATCACCATCAACAGCATCAACATCATCACCATCATCAACATCGTCAACATCAACATCGTCAACATCACCATCAACATCGTCAACATCACCATCATCAACATCAACAACATCATCACCATCATCAACATCACCATCAACATCACCATAATCAACATTACCATCAACATCATTACCATCAACATCATCAACATTACCACCAACATCATCACCATAAACATCATCACTGACATCACCATCAACATCATCACTTACATCAACATCATCACTTACATCAACATCATCACAATCATCTACATCACCATCATCACTTTTATCATCATCATCAACATGACCATGATTACCATCAACATCATCACTTTCGATCACCGTCACCGCCATCGACATCACCACCATCATCGCCCGCGCGACCGCGACGCTCATCGCCTGCGCTCTCCTCCACCGCAGCTCCCTTTCTCGGTGATCGGCTCCCTCAACGGCGTTCACATGTTCGGCAGCAACCAGGGAGCGCTGCTGTCCAGCACCGCCCTCGACGACGGCACGCTCACCTGGAGGGTCTTCCACGATAGGTGAGGGCCGGCTGGGTCACCGCACGGAGGCCGACCGACACCCGCGCGTCACACCTCCACTTGGAGCTTTCGCGGCTGCGGGAATCCCAAACCCTTTTCGTTTCTTTCGATGAAAGTCGCGTAGGTAGAAAAATAAAATGAAACGAATAAATTTTTTTTTTTTTTTAAATCACAACGTTTCCATCGCAACACAAGCGGTCGTCCTCGGGCGGATAAAAAAAGGAAAGCACCGAGCAGAGTCCCGACCTGCTGCGGCGCTTCCATTCTTTCCCTGCCGTTGGGCTGTTATCTCCGACTCTCTGAGTCGCATTGCCCTGTTGGGTGCCTCTGCATTAACGGGCCGGGGTCTCACTGACATGGCCACCTCTGCTCCCTAAGCCTCGATGTACCGATGGGTTCCGGCTGCGTGGACGCTCTCGCCCCTCACGGTGCAGTCGGCGGCGCCGCAGCAGCTTGTGTTACACACAGACGTGACATTAACTTGCCAGTTCCCCCCCTAATCTCCCTGCCTAATCTCTCCCATCAACATAGCGCCGATCTCCCATTAACGCCGCTGCTGTGCGCATGTGCGGGGGGAGGGGATACTCTTATGCGGCGACGGAAGCTCATTTCATGCTAATCTCTCTCCCTAATCTCTCTCTCTCTCTCTCTTTCTCCCTAATGTCTCCCATTAACACAACTGACGTGCTTGCGTCCGGGGATGGAATTCCTTTCCAGCTCAGACCACGGCTTGCTTGCCCGCCCGCCCGCCCATCGCCACGTAAATAACCCCCCTTGTTGTAACAGCTCTCTCGCTGGTCCAGCGGTTGCACTGCTGGATTAATTTTTTTTTCCCCGCCTGTTGACGACGGCTATTGTGTTGCGTTCAAAGCGTCGTGATTTATTATTTTTTGTTACGTTTCGACCGACGTCACTTTACTCTTTGGTTCTATTGGGTAAAGTCACGTAAGGTGAAAATAAAATAACAAAAAAATCACGAGGTTTCGGCGACAACACAAGCGGCCTTCATCAGGTGAAGGGACGAGACTGTCTGGAGGACAGCGCTGGAGTGAAAAAGCCACGCTCAGATCGCGACCTTTAAGCCGTGTGAGAAGAAACAAAGCGCCTTGACAAAGGAATTAGCATAGAATTTAGCATTGAAATAGCTAAAAACTTAGCTATGTTAAAGTTAAAGCATACACATCCGCAGAGGCACCCCTTGACAAAGGAATTAGCATAGAATTTAGCATTGAAATAGCTAAAAACTTAGCTATTTCAATGCTAAATTCTAGCTATGTCAATGCTAAATTCTATGCTAATTCCTTTGTCAAGGGTGCCTCTGCGGATGTGTATGCTTTAACTTTAACATAGCCATTTCTGTGACCAGTCACAAGCTAATCACTGAGCCATTTCAATGCTAAATTCAATGCTAATTCCTTTGTCAAGGCGCTTTGTTTCTTCTCACACAGCTTAAAGGTCGCGATCTGAGCGTGCCTTTTTCACTCCAGCGCTGTCCTCCAGACAGTCTCGTCCCTTCACCTGATGAAGGCCGCTTGTGTTGTGGCCGAAACGTCGTGATTTTTTTTGTATTTTATTTTCACCTACGTGACTTTACCCAATAGAACCAAAGAGTATGGATCCTAGCAGTCACGAAAGCTTCAAATCTACGTCACTTTACCGAAAGAACCAAAAGAGCACCCGCGCGTTATTTCCCTCCTCCCCTCCTCCCCCGCCCCGCCCCCCCCTCAAACCGGCGTCGGTCGACAATCGTCGTCGCCGTGATGGCCACGACGAACGGCGTCAGCCTCCCCACCGTTCTTCGGCGAAGCAAACACAAATGTTTCCGGCAGCATCACCCTGATCCTGGTGACGACGGGCGGAGAGCGCGGCGGAGAGGCCTTCCTGCACCGCCTGCTGGAGAACGTTTTCGGCGCGCTGGTAAGCGAGCGCCGGCGGCCCGCCAGACGTGCACTCGCCGTCGCGTTCACATCGGCCGCTTCACCCACCCACCCACCCACCCACCCACCCCCCCCACCCACCCACCCACCACCGGCCGCACAATCCTACGTTCAGGCTATCTGGGGATGAGTTTAACGTGCAGTAAGGGGGAGGCTTCCGCGACCAATATCATCCGTAATAAGTCTTTTTTTCCGCGGGTTGGATCGCGTAGATGTATGAATGTGTCGTTAAGACCCGCCACCACCCAGCCGTCGTGGGTTGTCACGAATTGGCCACGTTCTGTTTACGTGGCAACCCCTCGCTGGTTGGCCGTGTCGGGTGGTGGCGGGTTTTAACGACACAACAGTTATATATTTACACGATCTAACCCCGAAAAAAAACCTCTTATGGATATCTGGGGGATGTGGGTGGGTGGGTGGGGAGGGCGGTATTTGGGTATAAATTATACTATTTTCTAAAAAATGTCTACATTGTTACCAGGTAAGGCACCGCCGAGCTCCGTAGTAGGTCTTTTTCAGAAGCGACCTGGCCGTGGCAAATGATGGGCGCTCAACGAAGTTTGGCCGTGTCGTCGCGTAGGAAATTTACGGCAGCCAACTTTCTCTCAAAACGAGTGGTCGGCGTCGATTCTAAATGTGGAGGGGAAAAAGCGGAGGACCCGGAGAGAAATCCACGCGACCACGGGGAGAGAGAGAGAGACACACCGCAAACTCCAAATATACAGCAGCAGGCGTCAGGGTCGGGATCAAACCCACAACCTCCTGTACACCAGGCGAGGTGGTTAACATCTCCCAGCCACCGTGATGATGATGAGAGAGAGACACCGTGAACTTCAAATATATCCAGCAGGCGTCAGGGTCAGGATGGAACCCATGACCTCCTGCATACCACGCGAGGTAGTTAACATCTTGCCAGTGTGGCACCCCATTGTACAGGGGCCATGCCCGTCCGCCCAAATCGCCTTCCTCCGTTGCCAATTTCGGAGGCAGCCACGGTGGCTGTGAGATATTAACTACCTCGCTTCGTGTACAGGAGGATCATGGATTCGATCCCGACCCCGACGATGCCTGCTGTGTATTTGCAGTATGCGGTGTCTCTCTCTCATCATCACCACGGTGGCTATGAGATGTTAACTACCTCGCCTGGTATACAGAAAGTTGTGAGTTCGATCCCGACCCTGACCCCTGCTGTATATTTGGAGTTTGCGTGTCTCTCTCTCTTTCATCATCACCACGGTGTCTATGAGATGTTAACTACTTCGCCTGGTATACAGAAAGTTGTGAGTTCGATCCCGACCCTGACCCCTGCTGTATATTTGGAGTTTGCGTGTCTCTCTCTCATCATCACCACGGTGGCTATGAGATGTTAACTACCTCGCCTGGTATACAGAAAGTTGTGAGTTCGATCCCGACCCTGACCCCTGCTGTATATTTGGAGTTTGCGTGTCTCTCTCTCATCATCACCACGGTGGCTGTGAGATGTTAACTACCCTTGCCTTGTATACAGAAAGTTGTGAGTTTGATCCCGACCCTGACCCTGCTGTATATTTGGAGTTTGCGTGTCTCTCTCTCTTTCATCATCACCACGGTGTCTATGAGATGTTAACTACTTCGCCTGGTATACAGAAAGTTGTGAGTTCGATCCCGACCCTGACCCCTGCTGTATATTTGGAGTTTGCGTGTCTCTCTCTCATCATCACCACGGTGGCTATGAGATGTTAACTACCTCGCCTGGTATACAGAAAGTTGTGAGTTTGATCCCGACCCTGGCCCTGCTGTATATTTGGAGTTTGCTTCTCTCTCTCTCATCATCACCACGGTGGCTATGAGATGTTAACTACCTCGCCTGGTATACAGAAAGTTGTGAGTTCGATCCCGACCCTGACCCCTGCTGTATATTTGGAGTTTGCGTGTCTCTCTCTCTCCCAGCGGTCGCGTGGATTTTTTCCTCCGAGTCCTCCGGTTTTTCCCCTCCACATTTAGAATTGCCGTGACGCGTTTAGGGGTGTTTGGTTGCTGCTGCTGCTGCTGTAAATTTCCGCTTGATGATGATGATGATGATAAGCCAACTTCGTTGAGCTATCATTTGTGATAGATAGCCAGGTCAGGGCTTCTGAAAAAGAGCTGCTACATAGCTCAGTGGGGCCTTGCCTGGTAACATAAAAAAATATGGTTTCATGGTTTAGTAAAATTTCTCTAGGCGGATTTGTCTACAGGCATTCGTCACCCGCATCTAGCCCCCTTCCTCGCATCCTCAGGATTTTTGAAGGCGAGCAGGGCAAGGGGGGCCCCACGGGGGCCTGGGATTTTTGTTCATCGGCGGGAACATTTAAAGTCGTCGGCCCGCGTTTTGGCGCGTCCGTAAATGGGAAACGGCTTCGAGTTCCGCTCCCTCTGGCGGTAACGATGATCTCGAAACGAGAGTCGTCGTTTGGAGGAATCCGATGAGCTACGGGGCTCTTTGACTCTTCGTCGGAATGGGTCCACGGCCTCCAGGTGCTGATGATCGGCCTGGATGAGCTGGTGAACATCAGGAACGTGGAGCGGCTGAAGAGGGACCTCAAGGTGAGACGCCGGGGATGGCGATGTCGTTGATGATGTCGATAGTAATGATGGTGATGTTGATGATGTTGATAGTATTGATGATGATCTGGATGATATTAATGATGGTGGGAGGTGATGGTGACGTCGATGCTCTTAATGATGGAGGAGGATGTGATGTTGATGGTGTTGATGAAGGTGACAATGCTGATGATAGTAACGGTGGTGATATTGATGATGATGATGTTGACGGCGACGTCAATGACGGGAAGGGCGAGCGGGGAAGCGATGAGGGGAACTGGTAGCGGGAGGGGGGTGGAGCGGGTTGGGGTGGAGCGGGTGGTGATGGTGGAGCGGTGGTGGTGGTGGTGGAACGGGTGGTGGTGGTAGTGGTGGTGGTGGTGGAGCGGGTGTTGGTGGTGGAGCGGGTGGTGGTGGTGGAGCGGGTGGTGGAACGGGTGGTGATGGTGGTGGTGGAGCAGGATGGTGGGTGGTGAAGCGGGTGGTGGTGGTGGAGCGGGTGGTGGTGGTGGAGCGGGTGGTGGTGGTGGAGCGGGTGGTGGTGGTGGAGCGAGTGGTTTTGGTGGAGCGAGTGGTTTTGGTGGAGCGTGCGGGGACGAGGCTGGGGTTTGCCCACCACCGCTGTGCGTGCTACAGGCGTGCTACCAGCTGGTGGACAGCCTGCTGGGCACGTCGGAGCTCGCCGTCGAACTCACGGGGAGCCCGGACTGCCTGCTGTGCCCCGACAACGACATCCTGCGGGTCCGTGGGACACCCGCCCGCTCCACCCGCACCGCACGCTCCGCACGCTCCACCCGCACCGCTCGCTCCGCACGCTCCACCGTACCCGCACCGCTCTCTCTGCACGCTCCACCCGCTCCGCACGCTCCACCCGCTCCGCACGCTCCACACGCTCCACCGTGCCTGCACCGCTCTCTCCGCACGCTCCACCCGCTCCACCCGCACCGCTCGCTCCACACGCTCCACCGTGCCCGCACCGCTCTCTCCGCACGCTCCACCCGCACCGCTCGCTCCACACGCGCCACCGTGCCTGTACCGCTCGCTCCACACGCTCCACCCGCTCCATTGCACGCACACCGCTCGCTCCGCACGCTCCACCCGCTCCACCCGCACCGCTCGCTCCACACGCTCCACCATGCCTGCACCGCTCTCTCCGCACGCTCCACCCGCACCGCTCGCTCCACACGCTCCACCTGCTCCATTGCACGCACACCGCTCTCTCCGCACGCTCCACCCGCACCGCTCTCTCCGCACGCTCCACCCGCACCGCTCGCTCCACACGCTCCACCCGCTCCATTGCACGCACACCGCTCGCTCCGCACGCTCCACCCGCTCCACCCGCACCGCTCGCTCCACACGCTCCACCATGCCCGCACCGCTCTCTCCGCACGCTCCACCCGCACCGCTCGCTCCACACGCTCCACCTGCTCCATTGCACGCACACGCTCTCTCCGCACGCTCCACCCGCACCGCTCTCTCCGCACGCTCCACCCCGCACCGCTCGCTCCACACGCTCCACCCGCTCCATTGCACGCACACCGCTCGCTCCCCGCACGCTCCACCCGCTCCACCCGCACCGCTCGCTCCACACGCTCCACCATGCCCGCACCGCTCTCTCCGCACGCTCCACCCGCACCGCTCGCTCCACACGCTCCACCCGCTCCATTGCACGCACACCGCTCGCTCCGCACGCTCCACCCGCTCCACCCGCACCGCTCGCTCCACACGCTCCACCATGCCCACCCTCTCTCTCGCACGCTCCACCCGCACCGCTCGCTCCACACGCTCCACCTGCTCCATTGCACGCACACCGCTCTCTCCGCACGCTCCACCCGCACCGCTCTCTCCGCACGCTCCACCCGCACCGCTCGCTCCACACGCTCCACCTGCTCCATTGCACGCACACCGCTCGCTCCGCACGCTCCACCCGTGTCCCACCCTGCGCCGTGTAACCCCAGTAGTCTGAATTGTCGGCGTGTGCCGCGTTCGCTGTGTGCAATGCGTGGCTGCATGTGGTGCTGTGGGCGTTTGTCTGCTGTGTGCTGCGAGTGCGTGTGCTGTGTGTGTGTGCTGTGTGTGTGTGTGTGCTGCGTGGCGTACTGTGTGTGTGTGTGCAGCGTGTGCTGTGGCGTGCTGTGTGTGTGTGCTGTGTGTGTGTGTGTGCTGCGTGGCGTACTGTGTGTGGTGTGCAGCGTGTGCTGTGGCGTGCTGTGTGTGTGTGCTGCGCTTGTGCTGCGTGTGGCGTGGTGTACTGTGTGTGTGTGTGCTGTGTGTGTGTGCTGTGTGTGTGTGTGTGCTGCGTGGCATACTGTGTGCGTGTGCTGCGTGTGCTGTGGCGTGCTGTGTATGTGTGCTGTGTATGTGTGCTGTGTGTGTGCTGTGTGTGTGCTGTGTATGTGTGCTGTGCGTCTGCTGCGTGTGGTGTGGCGTGCTGTGTGTGTGCTGCGTGTGTGCTGCGTGTGTGCTGTGTGTGTGTGCTGCGTGTGTGTTCTGTGTGTGTGCTGCGTGTGTGCTGTGTGTGTGTGCTGCGTGTGTGTTCTGTGTGTGCTCTGTGTGTGCTGCGTGTGTGCTGTGCGTGTGCTGTGTGTGTGCTGCGTGTGTGCTGCGTGTGTGTTGTGTGTGTGCTGTGTGCGTGTGGTGTGGTGTGCTGCGTGTGGTGTGGCACGCTCCGTGTGTGCGTGCTCCGTGTGTGTAGGAGTGCCTGGAGGCGTTCACGGCGGGCGTGGACAGCGCGTTTGGCTGCCTGCTGGCACGGGGCCGCGTGTGCGTCGCCACGGAGCGCTGGTGGCAGCTGGCGCCCCAGGAGGGGAGCTGTTGGGGCGCCTCGTGAGCGCCTGCCCCCCGCTTCGTCACGCGACGTGCCAGTCTACCTGCCCCACGCAGCCCCACCGTGAGCCCCCACCGCCACCCACACCACCACCCCACCGCCACACACACCGCCAACACACCACCACCCACACCCACACCGCCACACCACCGCCACACACACCACCACCCACACCCACACCGCCACACACACCGCCACCCCACCGCCACCCACACCACCATCCACACCGCCACACACACCGCCACCACACCGCCACCCACACCGCCACCCACACCACCACCCACACCACCCCCACCACCATCCACACCGCCACACACACCGCCACCCCCACCGCCACCCCCACCCCACCCCCACCACCACCCACACCACCACCCACACCCACCCACCCCCACCCCCACCGCCACCCCCACCGCCAACACCACCGCCGCCCCCACCCCCTCCGGCAGTGTCCGCTTCTGACCCCACACTGCACGACCCCGACCCCTTGCTGACCTCTTGCGTGTCGCCCCCCCCTGCCCCCCCCTGCCCCCCCCAGGTCCCTCACCGCCTGCTCACGTTCCGCCTGCTGCCGGGCCTGGAGCTGTGCGTCCTCTGTGGGCCCCAGCCCACGCTGCAGGACATCCAGAGCACGGTGAGAGGCCTCGGGGAGTTTGACCCCCACCCCTTCCCTCCCCCCTTCCCCCCCCCCCCTTCCCCCCCCCCTCCCCGAGGAAGGGAGGGTGCCGAGGAGGGGAGGTGCACGGCCACCTGCGCAGCTAGCGGTGCACCACCACGGGCACGCAGGGGGCCCAGGCGCACGCGTGGAAGCACGCACGCTGGACTTCTTACACACCGTGCTACGTAGCCAGACACGTGCTCATCCAGGGGCGCGCGGGGGGCGGGGGTGGGTGGGTTTGGAGGTGGTGGAGTACGGTGCGGTGTGGTGGAGTGTGGTGCGGTGTGGTGATATGTGGTGCGGTGCGGTGTGGTGGAGTGTGGTGCGGTGTGGTGCGGTGTGGTGCGGTGTGGTGCGGTGTGTTGTGGTGCGGTGTGGTGCGGTGTGGTGATATGTGGTGCGGTGCGGTGTGGTGGAGTGTGGTGCGGTGTGGTGCGGTGTGGTGGAGTGTGGTGCGGTGTGGTGGAGTGTGGTGCGGTGTGGTGGAGTGTGGTGCGGTGTGGTGGAGTGTGGTGGAGTGTGGTGTGGTGTGGTGTGGTGTTGTGCGGTGCGGTGTGTTGTGGTGCGGTGTGGTGGAGTACGGTGGAGTATGGTGCGGTGTGGTGTGGTGGAGTGTGTTGTGGTGCTGTATTGACCGTCCGCCCCTCGCTCTCGATCCCCAGCAACTGGTGGAGCGCTTCTGGCGGCCGGTGCTGGAGCCGCTGAGGACCTGCGTGGTGCTGGCACCTCACGCGTTCCACTCCACCACACCGCTGCACGGCGCAATCCTGGGGTGGACACAACCACCCACCACACCCCACACACACCACACACCCCCACACACCCACACACACCACACACACCCCACACACCACACACCACACCACCACACACCACACACACACCCCACCACCCTACACCCCACCCACCCCACACACCCCCACACACACCCCACACACCCCCCCACACACCCACACACCCCACACCCCCCCACACCCCACCACCCCCCACACACCCCCCACACACCCACACACCCCCCCCCCACCCACCACCCCCACACCCCCCACACATCACACACACCCCCCCACACACCCCACACACCCCCCCACACCCCACACACACCCCACACACACCCCACACACCCCACACCCCACACACACCCCCACCCCACACCCACCCACCCACCCACCACACCACACACACCCCCACACACACCCACACACCCCACACACCCCCCACACACACCCCACCACCCCCCACACCCCACACACACACCCCACACACACCACACACACACCCCACACACACCCCACACCCACCCCACACCCCCACACACCACACCCACACCCCACACACACCACCCACGCACACACCACACACCCCCACACACAACCACACACCCCCCCACACAACCCACACACCCACACACCCCACACACACCCCACACACACCACACACACCACACACACCACCCACACACCCACCCCCCACACACCACACCCACACACCACACACACCCCCCACCCCCCAAACACACACCCCACACACAACCACCACCCCACACACACACACACCCCACACACCCCACACACACCCCACACACACCCCACACCCACACACCACCACACCCACACACACCCCCCACCCACACCCCCACCACACACCCCACACACACACCCCACACACCCACCACACACACCCACACACCCCACACACACCCCCCACACCCCACACACACACCCCACACACACCCCACACACCCCACACACCCCACACACACCCCACACACACCCCCACACCCCAACACACCCCACACCCACACCACACCACACACCCCCCACACACAACACACACCCCCCCACCCCACACACACCCCCCACACCCCACACACACCCCACACACCCCACACACACCCCACACACACCCACACACCACACACACACACACCCACACACCCCACACACACCCCACACACACACCACACACACACCACACACCCCCCACACACACCCCCCACACACACACCACACCCCCCACACCCCCCACACACCCCACACCCCACCCCCCACCCCCACCACACCCCCCACACACCCCACACCGCCCCAACCCCCCACCCACCCCACACCCCCCACACACTCCACACCCCCCACACACCCCACACACCCCCCCACACACTCCCCATGCCCTTCACCCCCCCCCTCCCACACTCCCCATGCCCTTCACCCCCCCCTCCCACACTCCCCATGCCCTTCACCCCCCCTCCACACCCCCCATGCCCTTCACCCCCCCTCCCACACCCCAATGCCCTTCACCCCCCCTCACGAACTCCCATGCCCTTCACCCCCACGCACCCACACTCCCCATGCCCTTCACCCCCCCTCCCACACCCCAATGCCCTTCACCCCCCCTCACGAACTCCCATGCCCTTCACCCCCACGCACCCACACTCCCCATGCCCTTCACCCCCCCCCCTCCACACCCCATGCCCTTCACCCCCCCTCACGAACTCCCATGCCCTTCACCCCCCACGCACCCACAGCCCCCATGCCCTTCACCCCCGCCGGGCTGACGCGGTGTTTGCCAGCAGCCTCACGAGGAACCCGGAGAACCGGGAGAAGAAAAACCCCCCCAGCATGCCGGTGTTTGATGACTGCTGTGCCCCCCCCTCCGTCCCCTTCTTGTGCCCCGCCACGGTGCCCCCCCTATCCCCCCCCCCAAGGCTCCTCCTCGTGAACACGGAGCTGAAGCGCAGCCTCTTCACGGTGGCAGCCGCAAGTGGCAGAGGACGGTGGGGTCGTGAGTGCGGGGTGGATGGGTGTGTGAATGAGTGCTGGGGTGAATGAGTGCGGGGGTGAATGAGTGTGAATGAGTGTAGGGGTGGATGGTGTGTGAATGAGTGCGGGGGTGGATGGGTGTGTGAATGAGTGTAGGGGTGGATGGGTGTGTGAATGAGTGTAGGGGTGGGTGGGTGTGTGAATGAGTGTAGGGGTGAATGAGTGCGGGGTGAATGAGTGTGTGAATGAGTGTAGGGTGGATGGGTGTGTGAATGAGTGTAGGGGTGGATGGGTGTGTGAATGAGTGTAGGGGTGGATGGGTGTGTGAATGAGTGCGGGGGTGAATGAGTGCAGGGGTGGATCGGTGTGTGAATGAGTGTAGGGGTGGGTGGGTGTGTGAATGAGTGTAGGGGTGAATGAGTGCGGGGGTGAATGAGTGTGTGAATGAGTGTAGGGGTGAATGAGTGCGGGGGTGAATGAGTGCGGGGGTGGATGAGTGTAGGGGTGGATGGGTGTGTGAATGAGTGTAGGGGTGGATGGGTGTGTGAATGAGTGTAGGGGTGAATGAGTGCGGGGGTGAATGAGTGTGTGAATGAGTGTAGGGGTGGATGGGTGTGTGAATGAGTGTAGGGGTGGATGGGTGTGTGAATGAGTGCGGGGGTGGATGGGTGTGTGAATGAGTGTAGGGGTGATGAGTGCGGGGGTGAATGAGTGTGTGAATGAGTGTAGGGGTGGGATGTGTGAATGAGTGTAGGGGTGGATGGTGTGGTGAATGAGTGCGAGGGTGGATGGGTGTGTGAATGAGTGCAGGGGTGAATGAGTGCAGGGGTGGATCGGTGTGTGAATGAGTGCGGGGGTGAATGAGTGCGCGTGTGAATGGGTGCGCGTGTGAATGGGTGCGCGTGTGAATGGGTTGCGCGTGTGAATGGGTGCGCGTGTGAATGGGTGCGGGTGTGAATGGGTGCGCGTGTGAATGGGTGCGCGTGTGAATGGGTGCGCGTGTGAATGGGTGCGCGTGTGAATGGGTGCGCGTGTGAATGGTGCGCGTGTGAATGGGTGCGCGTGTGAACGGGTGCGCGTGTGAACGGGTGCGCGTGTGAATGGGTGCGCGTGTGAATGGGTGCGCGTGTGAATGAGTACGCGTGTGAATGAGTGCGCGTGGAACGGGTGCGCGTGTGAATGGGTGCGCGTGTGAATGGGTGCGCGTGTGAATGGGTGCGCGTGTGAATGGGTGCGCGTGTGAATGAGTACGCGTGTGAATGAGTACGCGTGTGAATGGGTGCGCGTGTGAATGGGTGCGCGTGTGAACGGGTGCGCGTGTGAATGGGTGCGCGTGTGAATGGGTGCGCGTGTGAATGGGTGCGCGTGTGAATGGGTGTGGGTGAAGGCGCCGTCTTGTTGTGACGCGCAGGGAGAAGGATTCCGATGGAGCGCCGCAGGAGCATTCTGAAGGCGTTCTACAGGCTGGCCGTCACCAACTACTTCTCCCAGGGCGCCACGCGCGTCACGGGCAGCGAAGCCGGTACGGTGCGGCGAGCCTCGTCGGCACACGCTCACCGCCACCACCGTCATCATCACAACCACCACTACCGCCGTCACCATCATCGCCACCACCGCCATTACCACAAACACCACCATCATCGCCGCCGCCGCCATTACCACCAACACCACCACCATTACCACCAACACCACCACCGCCATCATCACCACTGCCGCCATTACCACCAACACCACCATCATCACCACCACGCCGCCATCACCACCACCGCCGCCATTACCACCAACACCACATCATCACCCACACGCCGCCATCACCCACCACCGCCGCCATTACCACCAACACCACCATCATCACCACCACCGCCGCCATCACCACCACCGCCGCCATTACCACCACACCACCACCACCATCATCACCACCGCCATTACCACCACCACTACCACCATCATCATCACCACCATCACCACCACCATTACCACCACTACCACCATCACCACCACCATCATCACCACCATCACCACCACCATTACCACCACTACCACCATCACCACCACCATCATCATCACCACCACCACTACCACCATCAAGACCACTACCAACATCACCACCACACACTACCACCATCAACACCACTACCACCATCACCATCAACACCACTACCAATCACAACCATCACCACCCCATCATCATCACCATCACCACCACTACCACCACTATCACCATCACCTACACAATCATCACCACCACCTCTACCAAAGGCAAAAATCCCCGTATAGCCTGAACAGACTGTTGGGGAAAGTGCTGTTAGCGAGCACCTATAAAGGCCGGCACGCACACGAGGGGGTGGATGGCCAGCACCACGCCCGGCCCTTTGTCTCCCCAGTGGCGATGTTTTCATGCACCACACCAAGTACTAATTTGAGGCCGAGTTGACCTAGGGGAGGTCCATGACCATCACCACCACCATTACTACCACCACTACAACTACCACCATCACTATTACCACCACTACCACCATTACCACCAAGATTACTACCACTATCACCACCGTCACCACCACTACTACCACCATCACCATGATCATCACCATTACCACCATCACCGCCACCATTACCACCATCACCACCACCATTACTACCACCACTACCACCTTCACCACTACTACCACCATCACCACTACCACCACTACTACCAACATCACCACCAAGATTACTACCACTATCACCACCATCACCACCACTACTACCACCATCACCATTATCATCACCATTACCACCATCACCACCACCATTACCACCATCACCACCACCATTACTACCACCACTACCACCTTCACCACTACTACCACCATCACCACTACCACCACTACTACCAACATCACCACCAAGATTACTACCACTATCACCACCATCACCACCACTACTACCACTATCACTACCATCACCACCACTACTACCACCATTACTACCACTATCACCACCATCACCACCACTACTACCACCATCACCATTATCATCACCATTACCACCATCACCGCCACCATTACCATCACCACCACCATTACTACCACCACTACCACCTTCACCACTACTACCACCATCACCACTACCACCACTACTACCAACATCACCACCAAGATTACTATCACCACCATCACCACCACTACTACCACCACCATTACTACCACTATCACCACCATCACCGCCACTACTACCACCACCACCACTACCACTATCACCACCATCACCGCCACTACTACCACCACCACCATTACTACCACTATCACCACCATCACCACCACTACCACCATCACCATTACTATCACTATCATCACCACCACTACTACCACCACCACCATTACTACCACTATCACCACCATCACCACCACTACTACCACCACCACCACTACTACCACTATCACCACCATCACCACCACTACTACCACCACCACCATTACTACCACTATCACCACCATCACCGCCACTACTACCACCACCACCATTACTACCACTATCACCACCATCACACCACTACTACCACCACCATTACTGCCACTATCACCACCATCACCGCCACTACTACCACCACCCCACTACTACCACTATCACCACCATCACCGCCACTACTACCACCACCACCATTACTACCACTATCACCACCATCACCACCACTACTACCACCATCCCATTACTATCACTATCACCACCATCACCACCACTACTACCACACCACCATTACTACCACTATCACCACCATCACCGCCACTACTACCACCACCACCATTACTACCACTATCACCACCATCACCGCCACTACTACCACCACCACCCTACTACCACTATCACCACCATCACCACCACTACTACCACCACCACCATTAGCACCCCTATCACCACCACCCACTACCACCCCTATCACCACCATCACCACCACTACTACCACCACCGCCACCACCCCTCACACCGTGCCCACCACCCCTCTCTCTCTCTCTCTGCCCGCACCACTGTGCCCACCCGCTAGTCCCCCTGGTGGAGGACTTCCAGCGGGGCTTTGCCCACAGCGCCACCGAGTGCTACGTGAGTGCCGACGGGCACCGGTGCTACGGGCTGCAGGCGCCGCCGCGCCAGCTCTTCCTGCTGCTCGGCGACGTGCCCACACTGGCGCTGCGGCCCATCAGCCGCGCCACCCTACAGGCGCTCACCAAGCTGCTGTAGGACACCAGACTGCACCACCCTACAGGCGCTCACCAAAGCTGCTGTAGGGCACCAGACTGCACCACCCTACAGGCGCTCACCAAGCTGCTGTAGGACACCAGACTGCACCACCCTACAGGCGCTCACCAAGCTGCTGTAGGACACCAGACAGCACCACCCTACAGGCCTCACCATGCTGCTGTAGGACACCAGACTGCACCACCCTACAGGCGCTCACCAAGCTGCTGTAGGACACCAGACAGCACCACCCTACAGGCCTCACCAAAGCTGCTGTAGGGCACCAGACTGCACCACCCTACAGGCGCTCACCAAAGCTGCTGTAGGACACCAGACAGCACCACCCTACAGGCGCTCACCAAGCTGCTGTAGGGCACCAGACTGCACCACCCTACAGGCCTCACCATGCTGCTGTAGGACACCAGACTGCACACCCTACAGGCGCTCACCAAGCTGCTGTAGGACACCAGACTGCACCACCCTACAGGCGCTCACCAAGCTGCTGTAGGACACCAGACTGCACCACCCTACAGGCGCTGCTGTAGGACACCAGACTGCACCACCCTACAGGCGCTCACCAAGCTGCTGTAAGACACCAGACTGCACCACCCTACAGGCGCTCACCAAGCTGCTGTAGGACACCAGACTGCACCACCCTACAGGCGCTGCTGTAGGACACCAGACTGCACCACCCTACAGGCGCTCACCAAGCTGCTGTAGGACACCAGACTGCACCACCCTACAGGCCTCACCATGCTGCTGTAGGACACCAGACTGCACCACCCTACAGGCGCTCACCAAGCTGCTGTAGGACACCAGACAGCACCACCCTACAGGCCTCACCAAAGCTGCTGTAGGGCACCAGACTGCACCACCCTACAGGCGCTCACCAAAGCTGCTGTAGGACACCAGACAGCACCACCCTACAGGCGCTCACCAAGCTGCTGTAGGGCACCAGACTGCACCACCCTACAGGCCTCACCATGCTGCTGTAGGACACCAGACTGCACCACCCTACAGGCGCTCACCAAGCTGCTGTAGGACACCAGACCTGCACCACCCTACAGGCGCTCACCAAGCTGCTGTAGGACACCAGACTGCACCACCCCTACAGGCGCTGCTGTAGGACACCAGACTGCACCACCCTACAGGAGCTCACCAAGCTGCTGTAGGACACCAGACTGCACCACCCTACAGGCGCTCACCAAGCTGCTGTAGGACACCAGACTGCACCACCCTACAGGCGCTGCTGTAGGACACCAGACTGCACCACCCTACAGGCCTCACCATGCTGCTGTAGGACACCAGACTGCACCACCCTACAGGCGCCTACCAAGCTGCTGTAGGACACCAGGACAGCACCACCCTACAGGCCTCACCAAGCTGCTGGTAGGACACCAGACAGCACCACCCTACAGGCGCTCACCAAAGCTGCTGTAGGACATCAGACAGCACCACCCTACAGGCCTCACCAAAGCTGCTGTAGGGCACCAGACTGCACCACCCTACAGGCCTCACCAAGCTGCTTAGGACACCAGACTGCACCACCCTACAGGCGCTCACCAAGCTGCTGTAGGACACCAGACTGCACCCACCCTACAGGCCTCACCAAGCTGCTGTAGGACACCAGACTGCACCACCCTACAGGCACTGCTGTAGGACACCAGACTGCACCACCCTACAGGCCTCACCATGCTGCTGTAGGACACCAGACTGCACCACCCTACAGGCGCTCACCAAGCTGCTGTAGGACACCAGCTGCACCACCCTACAGGTACTGCTGTAGGACACCAGACTGCACCACCCTACAGCCTCACCATGCTGCTGTAGGACACCCAGACTGCACCACCCTACAGGCGCTCACCAAGCTGCTGTAGGACACCAGACAGCACCACCCTACAGGCACTGCTGTAGGACACCAGACTGCACCACCCTACAGGCCTCACCATGCTGCTGTAGGACACCAGACTGCACCACCCTACAGGCGCTCACCAAGCTGCTGTAGGACACCAGACTGCACCACCCTACAGGCGCTCACCAAAGCTGCTGTAGGACACCAGACAGCACCACCCTACAGGCGCTGCTGTAGGGCACCAGACTGCACCACCCTACAGGCGCTGCTGTAGGACACCAGACTGCACCACCCTACAGGCGCTCACCAAGTTGCTGTAGGGCACCAGACAGCACCACCCTACAGGCCTCACCAAGCTGCTGTAGCCACCAGACTGCACCACCCTACAGGCGCTGCTGTAGGACACCAGACTGCACCACCCTACAGGCGCTCACCAGACTGCACCACCCTACAGGCGCTCACCAAGCTGCTGTAGGACACCAGACTGCACCACCCTACAGGGCGCTCACCAAAGCTGCTGTAGGACACCAGACAGCACCACCCTACAGGCGCTGCTGTAGGGCACCAGACTGCACCACCCTACAGGTGCTGCTGTAGGACACCAGACTGCACCACCCTACAGGCGCTCACCAAGTTGCTGTAGGGCACCAGACAGCACCACCCTACAGGCCTCACCAAGCTGCTGTAGGACACCAGACTGCACCACCCTACAGGCGCTGCTGTAGGACACCAGACTGCACCACCCTACAGGCGCTCACCAGACTGCACCACCCTACAGGCCTCACCAAGCTGCTGTAGGACACCGGAACGTGCCGTCGTCACCGTAAACAATCGTAATGCCGCCGCTGACCACGACGACGACCACAATGCTCTAGAGACGCCTTTTGGTAACGAGCGCGGATTTTACCGAGAGAGAACGGCGATTTCGTGGGCGGGGGCGGAGACCCACACGGGCGTTGCGTGGAAAGCGGCCACCGCAAGTCCTGCCCCCGCCCGCCTCGAGCGCTCCCGTCGAGGGACCTACAGGAAACCCCTTCAAACGGCGAGGGGTGTTGTACGAGGGGAGGGGCCGGGGGGGCGGCGGGGGGGGGCGGGGGGGCGGCGAGGAACACAAAAAGAGAAGGAGCCTTCGGAGACCGGGAGAGCGCGGAGCGGAACGGTGCTGTTCACGACGCTCGCTGTTCCCGTCACCGGCCCCCGGCCCCCGGCCCCGTAGCGGGACTTGCAACGTCCCGCTTGTGTCCGCTGAGTCGGTGAGCGCAACACGCGTCCACTCCACTTGTTCCACCTTGCGAGTCGGTCACGCACGGCGCTGCTACCCCCAGTCACGGTGGCTAGGAGATGTTGACTACCTCGCCTGGTGCACAGGAAGGTGGTTCGTGGGTTCGAACCCCGACCCTGACGATGCCTGCTGTGTATTTGTGAGTTTGCTGTGCGTCTCTCTCTCATCGTCGTCATCACGGTGGCTAGGAGATGTTGACTACCTCGCCTGGTACACAGGAGGACGTGCGTTCGATCCCGACCCCGACGATGCCTGCTGTGTATTTGTGAGTTTGCTGTGCGTCTCTCTCTCATCGTCGTCATCACGGTGGCTAGGAGATGTTGACTACCTCGCCTGGTACACAGGAGGACGTGCGTTCGATCCCGACCCCGACGATGCTGCTGCTGTATATTTGAAGTCTGCGTGTTCTCCGTGTCTCTCTGACGTGGTCGCGAGGATTTTTCTCGGGGCCCTCCGGCATTGCCCCTCCTCATTCGGAGTCGTCGCGCGTTCAGAGTGTTTGGCGACGGCTGTGAAGTTGTCCGCGTGGCGATGATGACGAGCCCCACCGCTTGGTTTGAGCTATCGTTGCTGAAAACGAGCTACGTAGTCGCTCGGCGGCGGGGCCTCAATCCGGTGAAGTACAAAAAATAAATGTTTTGTTTCGTTCGTTTTATAGTTTGGGGCCGTTTCATAAATGACGTCACGCGATTTTGGCCGATTATTTACCCCCCCTCCCCCCTCGTCACACGGCGTCACAAAAAGTCAGACCCCCCCCTCCTCCAATATGACGTCACAAAGCTCTGCCCCCCCCCCCCAAACCATGTATCCATTTTGAAAATAAAACATGGTTCAAATCACTTTCAACTATTGTCATTGTGTTGCGTATTTAATGTGTTGCGTATTTAATGTGGCGCTGCACTCTGATGTTGTAGGTAGGAAACATTAAAAAGAAGGCGTTGGATAGCTGAAATTTTGCATGAAATTAACTTGAAAATATTGATCGTCTTACTAAAGCTGCAGATGAAATTCTCTTATAATTATCAAATATTAAAAGTAAATATAACTGTAAAAAAACATACTTGAAACTTCGCAGTAGAACGAAGCAAAATGGAGATTGCAATTACAACAATCAACGTATTCATTCCATAGAATGAAAAGCCCTGGAGAATCGTTATAATCAAATGTTTAAGAACAATCGTTAACAAAAAAATGTACAAAATTTTACGCATATCCATTCACCCATGGAAAAGCAAAAAATGCTCCTCCATGGAATAAGCAGGGAGAGCATGGATCTCCTCATCCTGTGGAATGGATATTCCACTCAGATCAAGCTATCCAATCCGCACTCTCTAAATTTTCTTCGTTCACGACGTGCAGCGAAGACTCTCTGTGGCCTCATGCGTTTGGGCCGAATAATAATTGATTCCCGCTTGTGTGTCACAGAGTGGCTGGGCACCATGACTAGTGACGCGAAGTGTGTGTCGCATTTCTCGCAGATCCTATCGCTGAGCACGGATTGTATTGACGGACAGTAACAAGTTTTGATTTAAAGCTTTCGTGACTGCAGGGATTCATGTTCTTGGTTCTTTCGGTAAAGTCACCACGTAGAAGGGAAACAATAAAATAATAAAAATGTAAAACAAAATTCTCACGACGTTTCGACTGCAACACAAGCAATCATCATCAGGTGTGAAACCACAGCAAGAAAATTTGAAAAAGTGGCGTTTTTTTAGCGTTAGCACCACGGAGAGCGATTTGGCAGTAGTTATTCAGATGGACGAGTCCATCTATGTTCGGAAAAGAGGATGGGGGAGACGAAAATAAACAAGTCATATGGAATCGACCGGTGGGGATTTAAAGAGCGGGGAAGAATGTCCACTTTCAAACTTTGTGCTGCAAACAGAGGTGGGAATTTATGAGATGCTCCTCCGTTGTCCGTTCTGGAATTTTAAGACCTTCGCTGCTGAAGGAGGAGGAGTAGGAAATCTGTCTGTTACCACACTAATATAGGAGCTTCTTGGTTTCAAACAGTACCTGGTGTGGTGCGTAGCTAAACATCGCCACTGGGGGAGACAAAGGCGGCCGGCGTGGTGTTGGCCACCCACCCCCTCGTGTGCCGTGCCAGCCTTTATTGGCGCTCGCTTACAGCACTTGCCCCAACAGTCTGTTAAGGCTATACGGGGGATCTTTGTCTGTGTTTGTCTGTGTGTGTGTCTGTGTGTGTCTGTGTGTGTGTGTGTGTCTGTCTGTGTGTCTGTCTGGACGGGTTACGCAGGATTGGAAGGATGCCCTGGTGGTCCCCCTTTTTAAGAAGGGGGACCGCACAGACTGTAACAACTACAGGGGTATTTCACTCCTCAGTGTGCCGGGAAAGGTCCTGGCAAGGATTATTCAGCATCGCCTTGCCAGGCACGCTGAGGAGAGGCTTGCCTACGATCCATCCTGGGTTTAACCAGACTGGATTGTGTGAGGAGCTCACAAATCCTTGAAAGATCTGGGCAAGGTCCCATCGGTGAGCTCCTCCGGCGGGCAAGGCTGCGATGGCTGGGTCATGTAGCCCGCATGCCCAGCCACCGCATGCCGAAACAACTTTTGTTCGGCCGGATTGAGGGGGCTAAACGGGCGCGGCACGGGCTAGAGAAGAGATGTGGTACTGGAGGACGTGGAGCTGAGTGGACTTGCCGATGACTGGTACCAGCGGTGTCAAGATCGGCCTCTGTGGAGGAGGCTCGTGAAGGACGCTACTGGGCAGTTGGAGGCAGTCGCCCTCCAACAACAACAGAGGGCGGAGGAGCGACGCTCACAACAACGAGCGCAGCGCCGGGTGGCTAAAGCACAGCAGGTTGGCACAGTAGGGGCACAGGTGGTGCATCAGCCAGTCATCTCAGTCACTCAGTCAGTCGACCCGGGGCACCTGCTGGTCTGCCCCGTGACCTCCTGCCAGCGGGCGTTCGACACTTCACGTGGCCTCGGGTTGCACATAGCCTGGCACAAGCGTCGTGGTGACGTCACCGCCACTTAGTGGTGAATGGCGGTTGTTGTTGTTGTCTGTGTGTGTCTGTATGTATGTGTCTGTGTGTGTCTGTGTGTGTCTGTGTGTGTTTCTCTCTTCCTGACGATGCCGGTTGCCAATCGTGGCGTGAACGCCGAAGCCACCACCGGGCGCGCTCAGCGTGGCGTGCCGATCGCTTGCCGGCAACATCGCCGGGTTGCCCCAGCTTGCTGCTTCTGTGTGTCTGCGATACACAGAGACCCATGGAGATTCATAGAGACCCACAGAGAGCCATAGAGACCCATGGAGATGCATAGAGATACACAGAGATGCATAGAGATACACAGAGACCCATGGAGATGCATAGAGATCCACAGAGACCTATGGAGATGCATAGAGATCTATAGAGATACATAGAGATCCACAGAGATGCATAGAGATACACAGAGATCCACAGAGGTACATAGAGATACACAGAGACCCATGGAGATGCATAGAGACCCATGGAGATGCATAGAGATACACAGAGACCCATGGAGGTGCATAGAGACCCATAGAGATGCATAGAGATACATAGAGACCCATGGAGATACACAGAGACCCATGGAGATACACAGAGACCCATGGAGATGAATAGAGATACACAGAGATCCACAGAGATACATAGAGATACACAGAGACCCATGGAGATGCATAGAGATACACAGAGATACATAGAGATGCACAGAGACCCATGGAGATGCATAGAGACCCATGGAAATGCATAGAGATACACAGAGACCCATGGAGATACACAGAGACCCATGGAGATGCATAGAGATACACAGAGATCCACAGAGATACATAGAGATACGCAGAGACCCATGGAGATGCATAGATACCCATAGAGATACACAGAGATACACAGAGACCCATGGAGATGCATATAGATACATAGAGATGCATAGAGATCCACAGAGATGCATAGAGATACACAGAGACCCATGGAGATGCATAGAGATCCACAGAGACCTATGGAGATGCATAGAGACCCATAGAGATGCATAGAGATACACAGAGATGCATAGAGATACACAGAGACCCATGGAGATACATAGAGACCCATAGAGATGCATAGAGATACATAGAGACCCATGGAGATGCATAGAGACCCACAGAAATGCATAGAGATCCACAGAGATGCATAGAGATACACAGAGACCCATGGAGATGCATAGTGTATAATAGTGTAGTGTATAGTGTAGTGTATACTATAGTAGTGTATAGTAGTGTATAGTAGTGTATAGTGTAGTGTATAGTAGTGTAGTGTATTGTGTAGCGTATAGTGTAGTGTATAGTGTAGTGTATAGAAGAGTAGTGTGTAGTAGAGTAGTGTATAGTGTAGTGTATAGCAGAGTAGTGTATAGTGTAGTGTATAGTGTAGTGTAGTGTATAGGAGAGCAGTGTATATTGTAGTGTATAGGAGAGTAGTGTATAGTACTGTAGTGGATAGTGTAGTGTATAGTAGTGTAGTGTATAGTGTAGTGTATAGTAGAGTAGTGTATAGTGTAGTTTATAGTAGTGTAGTGTAAGTGTAGTGTATAGTAGTGTAGTGTATAGTAGTGTAGTGTATAGTGTAGTGTATAGTATAGTAGTGTATAGTGTAGTGTATATTAGTGTAGTGTATATTAGTGTAGTGTATAGTAGTGTAGTGTATAGTGTAGTGTATAGTAGAGTAGTGTATAGTGTAGTGTATAGTAGAGTAGTGTATAGTGTTGTGTATAGTGTAGTGTATAGTAGTGTAGTGTATAGTGTAGTGTATAGTGTAGTGTATAGTAGTGTAGTGTATAGTGTAGTGTATAGTGTAGTGTATAGTAGTGTAGTGTATAGTGTAGTGTATAGTAGTGTAGTGTATAGTGTAGTGTATAGTAGTGTAGTGTATAGTAGTGTATAGTGTAGTGTATAGTAGTGTAGTGTATAGTATAGTATATAGTAGTGTAGTGTATAGTCTAGTGTATATTGTAGCGCCGTGGTTCTTAACCTTTACTGTACTTGCAGCCTTGCCAACCCCCTTGATTCTCAATCATAAAAAAAAATGTTTTACAATGTCAATAAATACAGAGGAGTTGATGAAACAAAGTAAGTTGTGTACTTACGTTTCCCCGTGGCTTAATTTGTGTTTTCGATTATTTACCTTCTATAAACTAATGTGGCCACGTCTCGCTACCCCAAGGGCGGTGTGTACACCACAGGCTAAGAAACCCACTGGTTTAGCCTATGCGGGACGATCTTCGTCTTGATTGTGGTGGTGGTGGTTGTCGCGGTGGTGGTTATCGCGGTGGTGGTGGTGGTTGTCGCGGTGGTGGTGGTTGTCGCAGTGGTGGTGGTTGTCGCTGTGGTGGTGGTGGTTGTCGCTGTGGTGGTGGTGTTGATTCTGTGGAGGAGGTTCCTGAAGGACGCTGCCGCTGCTGCTGGCAGGTGGAGGCAGTCGCCCTCCCAGCAACAACGGAGGGCGGAGGAGCAACGCTCACAACAACGAGCGGAAGCGCCGGGCGGACTAAAGCACAGCAAGTTGGCACAGTAGGCGGGCACAGGTGGTGCATCAGCCACTCATCTCAGTTAGTCGACCCGTGGGCACCTGCTGGGTCTGCCGTGACCTCCTGGTGCACCTAGCCTGGCACAGTTGGGGGCACAGGTGGTGCATCAGCCACTCATCTCAGTCGACCCGTGGCACCTGCTGGGTCTGCCCCGTGACCTCCTGGTGCACCTAGCCTGGCACAGTAGGGGAGGCACAGGTGGTGCAACTGCCCAGTCATCTCAGTCGACCCGTGGCACCTGCTGGGTCTGCCCCGTGACCTCCTGCCAGCGGGCGTTCCACACTTCACGTGGCCTCAACGTGCACCTAGCCTGGCACAAGCGTCCGTGGTGACGTCACCGCCATTCAGTAGTGAATGGCGGTGGTTGTTGTTGTGGTGGTGGTGGCAATTCTAAGTCACAGTACATCAATTGACGGGAAACTCACCTCGAGATGAGACATCTCGTCTGTGATGGTGGTGGTGGTTGTTGGTGGTGGTTGTTGTTGGTGGTGGTGTTGGTGGTGGTTGTTGGTGGTGGTTGTTGTTGGTGGTTGTTGGTGGTTGTTGTGGGTGGTTGTTGTTGTTGGTGGTTGTTGTTGGTGGTGGTTGTTGGTGGTGGTTGTTGTTGGTGGTGGTTGTTGTTGGTGGTGGTTGTTGTTGGTGGTGGTGGTTGTTGTTGGTGGTGGTTTTTGGTGGTGGTGGTTGCTGTTGGTGGTTGTTGGTGGTGGTTGTTGTTGTTGTTGTTGGGGCTGTTTGTTGGTGGTGGTTGTTGTTGGTGGTGGTTGTTGGTGTTGGTGGTGGTGGTTGTTGTTGGTGGTGGTGGTAAGCGCTGTTTCCAATGTTGCCACGTCTTTCAGATCGCTTTCCCCCTCGCTCTGGTCAGACCGCGCGTGATCGATCCGTGATGGCGCACAGCTGATCGGGTGGGGCAGGTGGAGGTAGAGCAAGCGAGCGGGGGGGGGGGGAGATTGGGAGGGGGAGATTGGGGGATAGGCGGAGGGGGAGATGGGTGGGATAGGGTGAGGGAGATGGGGGAGGGGGAAATGGGGGGAGGGAAGATGTGGAGAGATGGAGGCGGAGATGGGGGAGAGATGGGGGCGGAGATGGGGGGGGGATGGGGGGGGGATGGGGGGGGGGGATGGGGGGGGGATGGGGGGGGGGCTGGGGGGGGGGATGGGGGGGGGGATGGGGGGGGGGATGGGGGGGGGGATGGGGGGGGGGATGGGGGGGGGGATGGGGGGGGGGATGGGGGGGGGGGATGGGGGGGGGGGATGGGGGGGGGAGGAGATAAGAGGAGATCGTGAACACCACGCGAATCCTCTGCGCTCCACGTGGCACGCCGGGAGATTCGAGCGTGGAGAACACAACACGTGCGCGCGCCTGTTCGGAAGAGGCACCACAACAACATCCACCACCACCACAACAACCACCACCACAACAACCACCACCACAACAACCACCACAACCACCGCGAGAATCTGAGAAGGATCTGCATGGATCGGCCCGTGCGCAGGCGAGTGAGGAATGGCGTCGCGTGTCTTCCCGTGTCTCCGTGTCTTGTCCCGTGTCTCGTCCCGTGTCTCCGTGTCTTGTCCCGTGTCTCCGTGTCTTGTCCCGTGTCTCCGTGTCTTGTCCCGTGTCTCCGTGTCTTGTCCCGTGTCTCGTCCCGTGTCTCCTCCCGTGTCTTCCCGTGTCTCCGTGTCTCCTGCCGTGTCCCCGTGTCTCGTCCCGCGTCTCCGTGTCTCGTCCCGTGTCTCCGTGTCTCCTGCCGTGTCTCCACGCCCGTTTTCCGTGTCTCCATGTCTCCCGCGTGTCCCGTTGTCCGACTGAAGTTGTCTCTGTACCCTAGCAGGCGTTTGTGGTTGTCTCTCCGGATCTTGTAGGGATGTCGATCATTATCACGATTGTGGTGGTAGTGATTGTTGTGGACATCGTTGTGATTGTGGTGGTGGTTGTCGAGACGTTAATGTAGATATCTCGATTATGTTAAATGTTTTAGATGATGTTGGTGGTGTAGACCAAGTTTATCTATTATAGATGATGATTGTTGTGGACATCGTTCTGATTGTGGTGGTGGTGGTGGTTGACGAGACGTTAACGTAGATATCTCGATGTTAAATGTTCTTGATGATGGTGGTGGTGTAGACCAAGTTGATCTATAGATGATGATTGTTGTGGACATCGTTGTGATTGTGCTGGTGGTGGTTGTCGAGACGTTAACGTAGATATCTCGATATTAAATATTCTTGATGATGGTGGTTGGTGAAGACCAAGTTGATCTATAGATGATGATTGTTGTGGACATCGTTGTGATTGTGCTGGTGGTGGTTGTCGAGACGTTAACGTAGATATCTCGATATTAAATATTCTTGATGATGGTGGTGGTGAAGACCAAGTTGATCTATAGATGATGATTGTTGTGGACATCGTTCTGATTGTGGTGGCTCTCCAGCCACCGCTAGTGACGAATTGGCCACGTTCTGTTTACGTGACAACCCTTACTAGTTTGCTGTCGGGTGGTGGCGGGTTTTGAACGACGCAACATTTATATATTTACGCCATCTAACCCAAAAAAACGTCTATTATGGATGATGTTGATTTCGAGAGCCTACGTGTTAAAAAGGCTCCAAGATGCTGATTAGAGACGTGATTATGACGCTGGTGATTGTGTTGGTATGTTTGATGCGTTTATTAGGAAGCCTAGGAAGCTATGCACTTTCAAATCATCTAGTTTGAAAACTCATTTCTTTATAACTGCGTTTTGCGTTTAGTTTCATGCTCGCCGCACCTCCAGTTAGCCATGGTTGGCTATGTACGGCTCGAAAAAAGTCCCACTTATGATAACAGCTGTTTCCCCTTTCTGGCAATAAAACAGGCTTTTTTGCTTTTTCGGTAAAGTCACGTAGATGGGTTAAAAATATATTTAATATACAGGTAGTCCCCGACTTACGATGGAGATGCGTTACGACGACCATATCGCAAGTCGAAAATATCGTAAGTCAAAAATAGCCTTAGCCTACCCAGGAGTCTTAAAGAATGATGATCATTTAGCAAAACAGAGCAGTTTACAGTACCGTATTACAACTAATTACTAATCTACAACTCATTACTAATCATAACCATTGACTGATTATCAATCGATTATATAATTACAATACCCCCCCTCAAATCATTGCACCTGAATGAGTTAAATGATGACGTCACCCTGCTGCTCTATTTAAGATCGTGAGCAAGTGAGGGCTTTACCATTCTGGCGAATTACCTGATGATGCTGGATGTAATTACTAGCGAAACGTCGTACTCAAACTGTAAATGTTGTGGATTCACTCTTCACACACCGGTGGGCTAAAGTAGTGAATTATTTGTCTTTTGTCAACGTGACACTTTTTTGCTGATTGGCCGTGTCGGGTGATGGAGGGTTACGACACATTTATAAATAACGCGATCTAACCCAAAAACCTTTATTATGAATTATTATAAGTGCCGTATTGTATAAACTATATACTAAATTTGGATTTAAAGCTTTCGTGACTGCAGTAATTCATATTCTTAGCTCTTTCGGTAAAGTCACGTTGAAGGGAAACAATAAAATAATAAAATATATATAAAACAATATATTTTGTATTGTTTCCCTTCAACGTGACTTTACCGAAAGAGCTAAGAATATAAACTATATACTGTATGTATTTATTAATTACAATACTGTATTGCACAGTAAAATTTAAACTAAAAAAAACAGATAAATTCTTAGCCTAACTATATGAACTGCAATTTCGTAGAAAGTTTTTTTCAGGAAACAATCCTTCTATCTGCTATATATATAAAAAAACGTTTAACATGTATCGTGGTAACCCTAAAATGAAATCGCTAAAGCTATGTTATCACACATTAACTTAGCTGTCGGACGAGGAGGATGGCGATGATAAAGTACAGTATCGTTCCTCGTAACGCTGCTGCGTTTGCCCGCCGCGCGAAATTAAAAAAAATATTTAACAATTTTGTAAGATCGAAATATCGTAAATCGGACCATCGTAAGTCGGACCATCGTAAGTCGGGGACTACCTGTGTATATTTTTTAGTTATTTTTCTTTGAACCTATCTACGTGACCTTTACCGAAAGACACCCAGAGAATATGAATTCCTGCAGGCACGTAAGCTTTAAGTCAATACAACAGCCGTGTTTTAAGATGTTAAAACTGTATCAGGAACATTGGAGAGCTCACGCCGAGCTCCCCAATGTCCTCGTATTGGCATTGTCCTTGTGCCCGGTTCGCCTTTAGGCATTGTCCTCTGCTCTAACACCGAGACGAGGCTCTCAAGAAAAGCCGTCTCCTGCTGTGTGGGTTCCAATCGGTGTCAAAGACGACGCATCGTCGTGCACAGTAAAAACCTTGGATTGCGAGGAGCATTAATTCTCTTCCGGAAACGTGTTTGTAATCCAAAGCGCTCGTATATCAAAGCACAACGTATATATCAGTTGTGTGATCACGTGACGCTCGGCAGACGAAGCGTATACGTACCAACTCATTGCAAGACCATCGCTCGTTTATCGAATTAATATTCAATCCAAGGTTTTCCTGTACTACCAGAGCATGTTTATTTGTTTTGTATGTTCACCGCAAGTATACGTGGTTAATGCAGACACGAATTCTTGTGAAAGGTTTCTGTTTGGTGTTTTAACATCTTTACACAACTGTTTTGTTGTCCAGAAAGGGGGAACCCCCCCCCCCCTATTATCATAATTTAATACTGGCAAAGGAGGTCTCAGGATAAAGTTCCACTTACATGCATGCATATGCGTTATGGGTCTGTGGGTCTCTGTGGGTTTATTTGGGTGTCTAAGGTTCTGTACGAGTGGCTGGATCTCTGTGGGTCTCTGTGGGTTTATTTGGGTCTCTAAGGTTCTGTACGAGTCGCTGGATCTCTGTGGGTCTCTGTGGGTTTATTTGGGTGTCTAAGGTTCTGTATGAGTCGCTGCATCACTCTGGGTCTCTGGGTTTATTTGGGTCTCTAAGGTTCTGTACGAGTCGCTGGCTCTCTGTGGGTTCATTTGGGTCTCTAAGGTTCTGTACGAGTCGCTGCATCTCTGTGGGTCTCTGGGTTTATTTGGGTGTCTAAGGTTCTGTACGAGTCGCTGGCTCTCTTTGGGTTTATTTGGGTGTCTAAGGTTCTGTATGAGTCGCTGGCTCTCTGTGGCTCTGTGGGTTTATTTGGGTCTCTAAGGTTCTGTACGAGTCGCTGGATCTCTGTGGGTCTCTGTGGGTTTATTTGGGTCTCTAAGATTCTGTACGAGTCGCTGGATCTCTGTGGCTCTCTGTGGGTTTATTTGGGTGTCTAAGGTTCTGTACGAGTCGCTGGATCTCTGTGGGTTTATTTGGGTGTCTAAGGTTCTGTACGAGTCGCTGGATCTCTGTGGGTCTCTGTGGGTTTATTTGGGTGTCTAAGGTTCTGTACGAGTCGCTGGATCTCTGTGGGTTTATTTGGGTCTCTAAGGTTCTGTACGAGTCGCTGGATCTCTGTGGGTTTATTTGGGTGTCTAAGGTTCTGTATGAGTCGCTGGCTCTCTGTGGCTCTCTGTGGGTTTATTTGGGTCTCTAAGGTTATGTACGAGTCGCTGGATCTCTGTGGGTCTCTGTGGGTTTATTTGGTTCTCTAAGGTTCTGTACGAGTCGCTGGATCTCTGTGGGTCTCTGTGGGTTTATTTGGTTCTCTAAGGTTCTGTACGAGTCGCTGGATCTCTGTGGGTCTCTGTGGGTTTATTTGGGTGTCTAAGGTTCTGTACGAGTCGCTGGATCTCTGTGGGTTTATTTGGGTGTCTAAGGTTCTGTACGAGTCGCTGCATCTCTGTGGGTCTCTGGGTTTATTTGGGTCTCTAAGGTTCTGTACGAGTCGCTGGATCTCTGTGGGTTTAATTGGGTCTCTAAGGTTCTGTACGAGTCGCTGGCTCTCTGGCTCTCTGGCTCTTCCTTCCGATATTGGGAAGCATTTTAAATCATCATCATTTCGATTGAGAACTCATTTCTTTACAACTGCTACCTGTTGTTGTGTTTCGTTTGTCTGTCCTTCCCTCCGCACCTCCGATAAGCCACAGTTGGCTACGTACGGTGCGAAAGAAATTCAACATGCATACGTACAATATGGTGGTGGTGATGATGATGATCACGGTGGCGGCGGTGATGATCACGGTGGCGGCGATGATGATGATCACGGTGGCGGCGGTGATGATGATGATGATCACGGTAGCGGCGGTGATGATGATGATCACGGTGGCGGCGGTGATGATGATGATCACGGTGGCGGCGGTGATGATGATGATGATGATCACGGTGGCGGCGGCGGTGATGATGATGATGATCACGGTGGCGGCGGTGATGATGATGATGATCACGGTGGCGGCGGTGATGATGATGATGATGATCACGGTGGCGGCGATGATGATGATGATCACGGTGGCGGCGGTGATGATGATCACGGTGGCGGCGGTGATGATGATGCGGCCGTCTGGAACGCTCTTCCTTCCGACATTGGGAAGCTACTGGGAGCCATGCACTTTTAAATCGCCATCTAAGATTGAGAGCTAATTTCTTTAGAACTCCTTTGTCTTGAGTTGGTTTGTGCCCCCCCCCCCCCCCCCGCACTCAGATGAGCACAGTTGGCTATGTACGGTGCGAAAGAAGTTCATGCATACCGTACACAAAAAGGGGGGTGGGGGGGCATTTAAAACGGATGATGGTGTTGATGAAGGTGATGCTGTTGATGGTAATGATGTTGATCTTGATGTTGATGACGATTGGAGGTGATGTTGACGTCGATTATGTCGTTGTTGATGACGATGACGATTGGAGGTGATGGGTGATGTCGATGCTGTTGATATTGATGTTAATGATGATTAGAGGTGATGTTGATGATGATGATGCTGATGGTGATATGATTGTGATGGTGGTGATGTTGATGATGATGATGGTGATATGATTGTGATGGTGGTGATGTTGATGGTGATATGATTGATGATGATGATGTTGTTGGTGGTGGTCATATCTCGTGATCCTCCCTCCCTCCTCCTCCCACAGTCCACGGGTTTGGCTGCTGGTCACGTCCGCGCTGCTGACGTGGGGCGATGTCTCATCACTGAGCAGCCCCTCGCTCCCAGGTGAGGAGGATGGGTGGGGGGGGGGGGGGAGCGGTGGCGCAGCGGTTAGCGCTACGCTGCGCTACGAACCCGGCGACCCGAGTTCGATTCCTGCTCACAGCCACACAAACCCCGCTTGACGATTATCTGAACCTGTCCTGGGCCTCCGCTAGGTTCACTCGGCCTCAAATGAGTAGCTGGTGCGGTGCGTAAACACATCCCCCACTGGGGGAGACAAAGGCGGCCGGGCGTGGTGCTGGCCACCCACCCCCCTCGTGCGCCGTGCCGGCCTTCATAGGTGAACAGCACTTGCCCCAACAGTCTGTTAATGCTATACGGGGGACCTTTGTCTTGGATGTTGGTGATGTTGGTGGAGATGTGCGGGATCTCAGGCAGACGGCGGCGCTGCAGGACGGCTACTCGCTGGCGTGGGGGGTCCCCCAGGGGGTCCCCCAGGAGGTCCCCCAGGAGGTCCCCCAGGGGGTCCCCCAGGGGGTCTCCCAGGGGGTCCCCCAGGAGGTCCCCCAGGGGGTCCCCCACGCCGCCTCTTTCTCGGTCTCCATCAACGGCATCACCGTGGCGACAGCGCTCACAGAGCCACGGTACCCCCCCAACCCCTCGCTCCGCCCCCACCCACTCGCTCCGCCCCCACCCACTCGCTCCGCCCCCACCCACTCGCTCCGCCCCCACCCACTCGCTCCGCCCCCACCCACTCGCTCCGCCCCCACCCATTCGCTCCGGCCCCACCCACTCGCTCCACCCCCACCCACTCGCTCCACCCCCACCCCCTCGTTCCACCCCCAACCCTCGCTCCACCCCCACCCCCTCGCTCCACCCCCTTGCTCCACCCCCTCGCTCCACCCCCTCGCTCCGCCCCCACCCCTTCACTCCGCCCCCGCCCCCTCACTCCGCCCCCGCCCCCCTCGCTCCGCCCCTCGCTCCGCCCCCGCCCCCTCGCTCCGCCCCCACCCCCTCGCTCCACCCCCACCCCCTCGCTCCACCCCCACCCACTCGCTCCACCCCCACCCACTCGCTCCACCCCCACCCACTCGCTCCACCCCCCCCCCCTCGCTCCACCCCCACCCCTCGCGGGCTTCACCTGGTAAAATAAAACCTCGTTTTGTTAAAGAGTGGTGATGATCACCATGATTTCCCTGCCGCTGCTGATGATGATTCTGCTCTAGTTTGTTGATGATTTTACTGCCGCTGATGATGATGCTTATGCAGCTGATGATGATTCTGCTGTAGTTTGTTGATGATGATTTTACTGCCGCTGATGATGATGATAATTTTGCTGCCGATGCTTATGCTGTGTAGTTTGTTGATGATTGTACTGCTGCTGTTGATGATGATGCTAATAACAACGCGTACGATGCGGACGCTGCAGGTACAGCGTGCGGGGCTTGTCCGCGTGCGTGCGCCAGCGTGTGCACGTGACGATGGCACGTGACGACGGCAGTGAGAGCCCCGGAGAGACGATCCTCGCTCACACGGGTACTCTCACTCACACGGGTACAACAACAACAACCGCCAATCGCCACTAAGTGGCGGTGACGTCACCACGACGCTTGTGCCGGGCCATGTGCACCTTGAGGCCACGTGAAGTGTCGGAACGCCCGCTGGCAGGAGGTCACGGGGCAGACCCAAGTGCCACGGGTCGACTGACTGAGACGACTGGCTGATGCACCACCTGTGCCCCCCTACTGTGCTGACTTGCTGTGCTTTAGCCACCCGGCGCTCCTATCGTTGTTGTGAGCGTCGTTCCTCCGCCCTCAGTTGTTGTTGGAGGGCGACTGCCTTCAACTGCCCAGTAGCGTCCTTCACGAGCCTCCTCCACAGAGGCCGATCTTGACACCGCTGGTACCAGTCATCGGCAAGTCCACTCAGCTCCACGTCCTTCTGTACCACGTCACTCCATCTCTTCTCTAGCCCGTGCCGCGCCCCGTTAGCCCCCTCGATCCGGCCAAACAAAAGCTGTTTCGGCATGCGGTGGCTGGGCATGCGGGCTACATGACCCAGCCATCGCAGCCTTGCCTGCCAGAGGAGCTCACCGATGGGACCCTGCCCAGATCTTTCAAGGATTTGTGAGCTCTTCACACAACCCAGCCTGGTTAAACCCAGGGTGGATTGTAGGCAGGCCAGCCTAAATGTTTCTAACGGCGAAGATGTTCCATTAGGGGGTCCACGTTTTGCAAGCGTAGAGAAGGGAGGGAATGACCGTGGCCGAGAAGACCTGAAGCTTTGTGCGGCGTGAAAGACCAGGTAGCTTCCACACAGCGTTACGCAACCGATGAAAAGGTAATGCCGCTCGACTGATTGGGAGTGCGACCTCTGCTGTTAAACCGGAGCCGGTTATGAGCACACTGCCAAGGTATGGGAAACTCTCCACTCTTTCCACAACTGTTCTATCACCAATTGGGAGTTGTGGGGGTGGAGTGCCCGATGGTACAAAATACCCATGCAGGTGCTTAGTTTTGGTGGGGCTGATGGTAAGTCCCACCTCTTAGTGGCAAGCTCCAGGTTCAGCAGGAGCGTCTCCAACTCCTCTGAGCAGCAATTACCAAATCATCGGCATACATAACGTGGTTAAGCCATAGGGAGCCATCCCTTGACCACACCTGGGCATCGATCGGCCTCCCATTGTATCTGTACCAAATGGAAATTCCTCCGGTACAGCTATTGAAGGCTTCACGAACTACGTGGTCGAAATAGATGTTAAATAATGTTGGAGCCAGAGGACATCCCTGTCACACCCCAAGGTGTATAGGGAATGGCTCTGACTCCCAGCCATGTAGTTTTACCCGGGCCCGTTCACCATCATGAAGGTCCTTAATGATCGTGACCAGAGGGTCAGGGACTCCGAAAGCACGAAGAACAACCCAGAGCCCAGGCCTACTGATGGTATCATAGGCCTTGACCAGGTCAATAAAGCACAGATGTAGGTCTTGTTGGAATTCCCTACAACTCTGCTGTAGCAGACGGACAGAAAATATGGCATCTGTGCAGGACCGCCCTTTCCTGAAACTGCATTGGGGCTCCGCAAGCCTCTCCTCGGCGTGCCTGGCAAGGCGATGTTGATTAATCCTTGCCAGGACCTTTCCTGGCACACTGAGGAGTGAGATGCCCCTGTAGTTGTTAGTCTATGCGGTCCCCCTTCTTAGAGGGGGACCACCAGGGCATCGTTGGAATCCGTCCAGTGGTCCAGACTGTTGTTATGATGTCATGTAGGGCAGTCTGTACACAAACGCCACCCTCCTTCAGCATTTCGTTTGGGAGATCCTCTCTGCCCGGTGCCTTTCCTAGTCTCAGACTCTGGATCGCCTTCAGTACTTCCTCAACTGTTGAGGAAGTACTGATGGCCAGTCACTCACAGGGGGTGACTCCCTCCTCCAATATTTGAGGCACCGCAGCCTCAGCAGGGTCATCTCCACTTTGTCCCACGTTTTCCTGGCCGAGGGATTTCCCCTCCCCCAGGACCTCACATAAATGCTCAGCAAATCTGCAAACCTGTTACTGGGGGACGGAGATTGGATCACTGTTCTTTCCCCTAATGATAATAATAGGTGTGGCGCTGCAGGTTACTTTTTCTATGGTTTAAAGAGCACTTTGTGATCGCGGGCCATTGAGGCAGATTCCATCTCCTCAGCAACCCACGACCACCACCCATCCTTGCAGCGCCTCACGGCTCTCCGAACCTCCGAGCGAAGGCTGCGGTAAGCCTCCTCATTCTCCAACGGGGGATGCTGTAGCCGATGAGAGTGGGCCTGTTGCTTTTTCTTAACCAGCCAGAACACTTCCTGTCAGCCAGGGTCTCTGGGGAGGTCTGGACCGTGTACCCAAAGCAGCCATTGCAGCTGCATGAGTCACAGTCCTAAACCTCGTCCATTTCCCCTCGACATCTGGAGGAGTGTGGGACGATGCCAACCCCAGCTGCAAGTGATGATGAAATTCTCGCTTGCAACTTTCATCAGCTAGCTGAGACCATGCCAGGAAGTGTATGAATGGGGTCCTTGGGTGTACACCCATCACCGGAGTGGAAGGAAGGCAGGCGCATCTTACAGATGACTAGTCGATCGGCTCCACGGTAGGTCCTGGTGTCATGGACATGGGCCCGCATCCGCTGTTCCGTCACTATGTAGTCCAGCAGATGTTCTTGCTTGGACCCAGCATGCATCCATGATGTGGTGTGGATGCGCCGATGCCGGAGCAGCTTGTTGGTAATTACAAGCCCATGGGCTGCACAAAAATCTAACAGCCTCCTACCGTTGTTATTGAGCTGATCTGGCCCATGCCCTCCAGTCACTCCAGACCAGGTGCCAGCATCATGACCAACTCGGGCATTGAAGTCGCCCAACAAGATGACTCTATTCCGAGGGGCCACTTTAGCCAGCACTTGTGGCAGGAGGTCATAGAAGGTCTCTGACTCATCGGCCTTGCCTGCATCCCTCCACGGATGTTCGTCTTCAGTGGGGGGCATAAGTAACCACGACCACCAATCCCCGCCTCTGGTTGATGGGAAGGCGAGCCCAAAGTAGCCTGGGGCTTTGCAGCTTCCCACACCTCACCGCCACGCTCCCACGCCCCCTTCATTCTTTTTTTCAGAAGAAGAGCCACTCCGTGTTCTTTGGCAGTCTCCTGCCCCGAGTAAAGGACTGTCCACCCCTCATGGTGGCAGGAGCCAGAGCCGGTCCACCGGACCTCCTGAATGCCACAGAGATCCAGGCGGTACCGGTCCAGCTCCTGACAGAAGAGTGGCAGCCTCTCCTCTGCAGTGAACGTTCGAACATTCCAAGTGGCCACCCGCAGTGGTTTTTTGTTATTTCTGGAGGAGCCCCAAGGGTAGAAATTCAGTCTCCTGGCTCCGCCAAATGGGGTTTGGCCAGGAGATGTCATAGATGCCTGTCCCCTCCGGGGCCTCCGGCACAAGCTTATTTATAAAATGTTGTGGTCGTGGTTTAGTGGTAATTAATTGAAGGTGGACGGATTACCAGCCCCTCGCACCTGTCCAGAGCCCCCATTTAGCCGCTGTGGTGGTTACAAATGGCACGAGGGGAAAGGCCAATCGGAATTGGTCCCTCCCCCCATGGCACTGCCCACGACAGCGTTGCCCATCCGGCACCACAAGGAGGTGTAGGGGGTTGTTTTGACGGGTACTCGCGCGCACACACACACACGGGCACTTACATACAAACACGTTCACGCGCGGGTACTCGGTGCGACCCCACCCACCCCACCCACCCCACCCCCCGCGTCTCCCCACAGCCCCCGGCCCCCTCCTGGGGGCGTTCCTGCAGCGCTTCCCCGGTGGCGCCGTGGCCTGGTGGCGCTGTGCGGTGCGCGCCGACTCCGTCCAGCTGCAGCTGCTGCTGCTGCGTGACGGTGACGGCACGGAGGGAGCGGAGGAGCAGGAGGAGGAGGAGGAGGAGGAGGCGCCGAGCCCCACCGCGGTTGCCTCCGCGCCGCCCGAGCGCTGCCACGTGGAGCTGGGCGCCGTCGCCACCGCCTGCTCCCCGGCGCGCTTCTCACTGCACGCCGTCTGCGGGGGCTGGCCGGGGCCCGCCCACTCCTGGGACAGCCTCACTGGTCGGGGACGGGGGGGACACCTGGGCTCCCCCTGGGCTCCTCTTGGGCTCCTCCTGGGCTCCTCCTGGGCTCCTCCTGGGCTCCTCTTGGGCTCCCTCTGGGCTCCCTCTGGGCCCCCCCTGGGCTCCACCTGGGCTCCCCCTGGGCTCCTCCTGGGCTCCTCTTGGGCTCCACCTGGGCTCCCCCTGGGCTCCTCCTGGGCTCCACCTGGGCTCCTCCTGGGCTCCACCTGGGCTCCTCCTGGGCTCCCCCTGGGCTCCCCCTGGGCTCCCTCTGGGCTCCACCTGGGCTCCTCCTGGGCTCCCCCTGGGCTCCGCCTGGGCTCCCTCTGGGCTCTACCTGGGCTCCACCTGGGCTCCACCTGGGCTCCTCCTGGGCTCCCTCTGGGCTCCACCTGGGCTCCTCCTGGGCTCCCCCTGGGCTCCACCTGGGCTCCTCCTGGGCACCACCTGGGCTCCTCCTGGGCTCCACCTGGGCTCCTCCTGGCTGCCCCTGGGCTTCCCCCAGTAGCTTCCCATTGCTTGCCCTGCTCCCACTGGCTCCCACTGGCTCTCCCCCCCCTGCTCCCAGTGCCTCAGCAGTGAACACACCTTACACGCAATTATTTATTCATTACGATATGGACCCCCGTTTGTCAATCTCAGGACTGAACCTCCTCCTCCCCCCCCTCCCCCCACCTTCTCCCTCTCCGTGCAGGCCCCGGTCCCCTGGGCCCCCTGTCGGTGCGGGGCCCTGACGCCGACGGGGCCGTCGCGGCGTCGTGGGCCCCCCGCGCGGGGCCCGCGTCCCGCGTCTCCGTGTCGCTGTGGGAGGGGGGCGGCAGCGGTCCAGGGGGGGCGGCCGCGGGCGACCCTGCGGCGGGGGCGGGGGGGGCCCGGCGCCACGACCGCCCTGCGGGGCCTGCGGCCCGGCGCCTCCTACGAGCTGAGGGCCCACGAGGAGTGCGGCGGCCTCAGGGGCCCCACCTCCTCCGTCTTCTTTCGCACCGGCGAGTCCACGCCGGGTCCCCCCCCCCGCCTCATGGCCACCACCACCACCATGTCACCGCGGGGTGGTGGCTTGGACCGGTGGAGTGTGGATTATAAGAGCCCTTTTCGATGCCTTTTTTAGGCATAAGCAATTACAAAGCAACACTTTACTACCCAGGAACAAAAATGTTCTGTTGCATTGTGTGTTATTGTTGTCCAAACGTGTGTGCCCGTCCCGTTACTTGATGGTCATCGGTCGGTCTTTGTGGCTGTTGTTGCTGTTATGGCCGTCGCGTGGAGAGGCAGGCTCTGCCCACACGGAACTTGACCCCTACGACGCGGTGCTTCTGCCGCGTGGTGGTGCCGGCGCCCGGCCGTCGCCATCGCCAGCAGCGCCGGCCTCTCTGGGGTTGGAGCCGTCTCCTCCTCCGCGGCCTCCTGGTGGAGCGGGGGCTGCTGAGGCCGTATCCAAGCCACGCTCCTCCACATCCTCCACCTCCTCTGTCTCCTCTAGCTCCTCGTACTCTGCGGTGCTGGTGGTGGAGCAGCACCGTGTGGCGAACGCCTCCGGGCAGCTCCGGCCATCGGTCAACGGCTCCGCGCAGGACTTCCACCACGATGTCAGGACCTCCGGCAGAGAGCCACAGCTCTCTGTGAACGCCTCCGCCGGGGGGCCACTACTCAATGTGACCTCAGTGGAGGGGCCACGGCTCAACGTGACCTCCGCAAGGGGACCACATCTCGCCCTGAACATCTCCACGACAGCACCACGACTCACCGTAACCTCCACGGGAGCGCCACGGCTATCTCCGAACACCTCCACTGGGGGTCCACGGCTTGCTCCAACCTCCGTGAGAGAGCTAGGTGTCCACAAGACCTCCACCGTGGGACCACGACTGTCGAAAACCTCCGCGAGAGAACCAAGACTCGAGGTGACCTCCACCAGGGGACCACGGCTCTCCGCCAGCGCCTCCACGTGGGGGCCAGGAATCGCCGTGACCCCCACCAGGGGACCACGGCTCTCCGTGAGCGCCTCCACGAGGGGGCCAGGAATGGCCGTGACCTCCACCAGGGGACCACGGCTCTCCGCCAGCGCCTCCACGAGGGGGCCAGGAATGGCCGTGACCTCCACCAGGGGACCACGGCTCTCCGCCAGCGCCTCCACGAGGGGGCCAGGAATGGCCGTGACCCCCACCAGGGGACCACGGCTCTCCGCCAGCACCTCCACGAGGAGGCCAGGAATGGCCGTGACCCCCGCGAGGGGCTTGGGGGAGGTTGGGGGGGGCGGCACCTTGGGTGTCGTCGTGGGCCGTGTCGAGGAGGTCGAGGAGGCGGCGAGGGGGCGCGGTCACGTGGTGGTCATCTTCCCGTGGGTGCTGGACGACTTCCTGCGGGAGCCGGGCTCTGCCGCCTCCCGGGCGTTCAGCTCCGCCGTGGGGCTCAAGGTAACCCGGGGGTGGGGGTTCTTTGGGGGGTTCGTGGGGGTCCGAGGGAGGTCAGGCGGGAGGGGGGGCAGGCGGGGGGGGGGGGCAGTCGGGGATGCCGAGCTGGCACCGGCCCCTGAGATCCTGGGTTCAATCCCAGGTAACGGGTGCTCTGCTACGGTGATTGACACCGACTGGAGCTGCCGGGGAAACTTGCGCCCTGCGTCGAGAAGCAGCGACCGGGTTCAAGTCCTGACCAGGGTTGCCCCCTGCCCCCCACCCCCCCCAACTGTGGTGTAGTTTGTGTGTTCTATCTCCCCCTGTTCTACAGAGTGATTGAGTGGAGTTTGTAGGATCTCCCCCTGTTCTACAGAGTGAGTGAGTGGAGTTTGTGTGATCTCCCCCTGTTCTACAGAGTGAGTGAGTGGAGTTTGTGTGGTCTCCCCCTGTTCTACAGAGTGAGTGAGTGGAGTTTGTGTGATCTCCCCCTGTTCTACAGAGTGAGTGGAGTTTGTAGGATCTCCCCCTGTTCTACAGAGCGAGTGAGTGGAGTTTGTATGATGTCCCCCTGTTCTACAGAGTTAGAGTGGAGTTTGTATGTTCTTCCCCTGTTCTATAGAGTGGGTGAGTGAGTGGAGTTTGTGTGATGTCCCCCTGTTCTACAGAGTGGAGTTTGTGTGATCTCCCCTGTTCTACAGAGTGAGTGGAGTTTGTATGATCTCCCCCTGTTCTACAGAGTGGAGTTTGTATGATCTCCCCCCCCCCCCCCCCCCCCCCCCGTTCTGCAGAGTAAGAGGGAGTGAACATCACCATTATTATGATTAATAACTGCCTCCTTTCTGTCGAGTTTGCATTCTCCCTCTCTCTCTTCCCCTGTAGTTCTGCGTGGGTTTCTTCCCAATCCCCCAGTTGTCTTCCTCCCACGCCTATAAACCCACACCCACAAGTGGGACCGGTATTGTCCAAACCACATTTTCCCAACTCTCAGAAATTCTCTGCAACACGTGGCTCAGTTGGGATTATTCGTGCAGCAGCAGCAGCAGGTTCTTGTAGGTCCTAGGGCAATTGTGTGTAGTAGGGCCTTCAGTGATAAGTCACGACAGCTGCTGCTGCTGCCCCATGTCACTGCCACCAGCACCGCCACCACCGTCACTCCGCTTGTTTCTCACGCTGTACTCGGGCCAGCCCATGGACAAGGCGTCGTTCCTGCCGTGTGATGCCGCAGAGAGGCAGATTCAATTTGAGATTATTGAGTGAGAGAGAGAGAGAGGGGAGAAAAAAAAAACCTCGCATGGTAAGCCTAAAAATATATTTCAAGAAAAAATGTCTTCGGCTATTTTTTTTCTTAGTACGATTATCATATTGCGTGATATATACAGGGCGCACGTGACTGTGGGCCCTGTTCAATGCTTGCAACAGTGCCCGGAAGAAGTTTCGTGTAGTCCCGAGACACTTGTGTGTAGTAGGGCGTTAAGTAGTAGGACCCTCTCTCAACAGCTGCTGCTGCTGCTGCCCTATGCCGCTGCCACTCGCTTCAACTGTCTCCGATCATCCACAGGCCCACAACACTGCGGTATCTCTCTTCCCTTGCGCTGCTGCTCTCCCTCTTCCTCTCTCTCTCTCTTGAGGATGAGATTGTGCGAGTGAAAAAACACCGTTTCGTAGATGTTATTGCTAACACGCGTCCCGGTTGTCGGCCGTAACAACAACTCCTCGCCACCATGGTGATTGCCATGACAATCATCCACAGTCGGCTTGGTCATTGTCGTCTTGGTCATCATTGTCGGCTTGGTCATTGTAGTCGTCTTGGTCATTGTAGTCGTCTTGGTCATTGTGGTCTTGGTCATCGTGGTCGTCTTGGTCATTGTGGTCATCTTGGTCATTGTGGTCGTCTTGGTCATTGTGGTCGTCTTGGTCATTGTGGTCGTCTTGGTCATTGTGGTCGTCTTGGTCATTGTCGTCGTCTTGGTCATTGTCGTCGTCTTGGTCATTGTAGTCGTCTTGGTCATTGTGGTCGTCTTGGTCATTGTGGTCGTCTTGGTCATTGTGGTCGTCTTGGTCATTGTGGTCGTCTTGGTCATTGTGGTCGTCGTCTTGGTCATTGTGGTCGTCTTGGTCATTGTGGTCGTCTTGGTCATTGTGGTCGCCTTGGTCATTGTGGTCGTCTTGGTCATTGTGGTCGTCTTGGTCATTGTGGTCGTCTTGGTCATTGTGGTCGTCTTGGTCATTGTGGTCGCCTTGGTCATTGTGGTCGTCTTGGTCATTGTGGTCGTCTTGGTCATTGTGGTTGTCTTGGTCATTGTGGTCGTCTTGGTCATCTTCGTCGTCTTGGTCATTGTGGTCGTCTTGGTCATTGCGGTCGTCTTGGTCATTGTCTTGGTCATCGTCTTGGTCATCATCGTCATCTTGGTTATCGTCGTCATCTCTCCCGTGCCAGTTCTCCGAGTTCGTGGCTGCCGGAGCCGGCGGCGTGGCTCCGGAGCGTCTCCTCGTGGCTGTGGTGGGGATCTCGCGCGTGCTGCTGGGGGGCGACGACGACGACGACGAGCAGGAGGAGGAAGAGGCGGTGGCTGCCACGCTCTCCGTGCGGCTCCGGGCCGCAGACAACCGCTCCGAGTCGGCCGTCCCGCCCGGCACCGTGCTGGCTTGGGCCAGACGGCCGCTCGCATCGTCGCCGTCCTTCGCCGTCCTGCGCGGGAGGCTCACCTGGACGGGTGGGCGAGAGGGCGCTCGAGCGGCTGAGCTCCGTGGAAGAGTGGGGGGGGGGGGGGCTGGGAGTGGGCATGGGGGGGAGGTGAATGGTTGTTGGCAGGCTGCGCCCCCCCCTCCCGCATGGGAGATGCTCGGGGTGAGGATTTCAAAAGTCCCCAGGTGACTCGCGAGCATCGAGGCGGAGGTGCCCCTGTGGGGCCGGCGAGGGTGGCAACGCAGATACCCAACCGCTCGCACCACACTCCACGCTACCGTCTACGAGGCGACCGCCGTTCTGGGAGGCTCAACCTGGACAACATGGTAGCCAGGCAGGCCCCCCCCTCCACCGTGGACTACACCGCTCAGGGTAGCCCTGCCCACCGCTCGGGTAGACCCGCCCACCACTCCTGTAGCCCTGCCCACCACTCGGGGTAGCCCCGCCCACCGCTCAGGGTAGCCCCACCCACCGCTCGGGGTAGCCCCGCCCACTGACCGCATCACGGCTTAAACCGATGCAAAAATATTTGGATTGTCACCAAAACTTTGGGGGAGGTCACTGGGAACGGATTCTCCTGGTCACCATCTCTCCCCCCCGCCCCGCCCCGCCCCCCCCCCCCCCACAGGGACGAGTGCGTGCCACGGAGCCGCCCTGCGGGGGGTCGCTCCGTGCGGCACGTTGGGCTCCGTGTGCGTGAACGCGCTGCCCGGGCGGGCGTGCGCCTGCGGCCCGCGCCTCTACGACATCGGTGACCTCTACGGGGAGCGGCCCGGCTCCCGCTGCGTGGGTGAGCGCTCGCTGCCGTCCCGGGGGGGAGGGTGCCTGGGAGAAACCCCGCCCCCCCCCCTCCCCCACCGTGCGTACGGGGGCAGAGCACGGCAACTGTCCGTGTCCGCCTCCTACGTGTCCCCGCGTCTCCCTACGTGTCCCCATCTCCTCTGTGTGCTTGCTCCCCGTGTCTCTCCGTTTCTCTCCCTGCGTTTCCGCGTATCCCCCCCCGTCTCTCTCCCTCCCGCGTTTTCCCGTGTCCCTCCGTATTCCTCCTCCGCACGCATCCCACCTTCTCCCTACATCTCTCCCCCCCCTCCCCCCACCCCCGCGTAGAGCACGGCATGCGTGTGTACTGCGAGCCGCGCTCCGTGGCGGTGCGCGTGTCGGCCGCGTTCGTGCGCGAGCACGCCCCCTCGGCCGCCCCGCCCCGCCTGCGCCTGCTGGACCCGCGCTGCGGTGGCCCCGTCGACGAGGGGACCTACCTCTTCTTCAACGTCACGGGGGGCCTGGGCAGCTGCGGGGGCACCGCCACGGTGAGCCGCGGGGCGGGGGCGGTGCTGGGAACGCTCAAACAAAGCAAAAGCTAAGGGTACCCCCCCCCCCCAAGTAGTTGAAGGGCTCCCCACTAACTCTGTTCGGAGCTGACGTCTCCGTCACGGCCCTCGTACCTCCCGCGGGGGGCGCCCGTCGTGGTAATTGATGTTCGGTGGTTGGTGGCGGTGTAGGCGGTGTAGGCAGTGGTGGCTTTGGTTGTCTTGTTGGAGCTGGCCGCGATGGTGGTGCTGGTGGCGTAGGCGGTAGCGGTGGGCTACGGTGGTGGTGGTGGTGGTGGTGCTGGTGCCGGTGGGTGGCGCAGCAACCACGCCCGGCCGCCTTTGTCTCCCCCCCCCCTAGTGGCGACGTTTACTCCACGGGGCGAGTTCCCAATGAGTCCTGAATTGGTCTGTAATAAGCTAGGCCACTGGTAAGGGGGTTGAAAGCCATGCAGAAGGGGGCGTTCAGCAAGAGCGGCAGAAAGACAGAGAGGGAGAGGTCAGAGAGACGGTGAGAAGAGGTGTGGAGGCTGAACTTCGGGGGGGGGGGCGAGGGGGGGGGTCGCACACGCTGTCTCTCCTCTCTGCATGTGCCATGAAGAAGGACCATTGCCCGAAACGTCACCCGTTAGATATTTTCTCCTCTCGAGGCCACAGACGGGTTGGGGCAGTTGCTGTTGGCGACGTAGCGCCTACGAAAGCTGCCATCACGGCACACGAGGTCGTGGGGTGGCCAACGCCACGCCCGGCCGCCTTTGTCACCCCAGTGGGCGGCGTTTACGCCACACCGCATCGGGTATTCACTTGAGGCCGAGTCGACCCAGGGGAGGCCCGCGCCAGGACCGGCGCACGGCTGAATCGTCACGGGTGTGTTGGTGGCAGATCGAACTCGGGTGGCCGGGTTCGTAGCGCTAACCGCTGCACCACCGCTCCCCCCCCCCCCCCCCCCCCCCCCCCCCCCCCCCCCCCCCCTCAATGAGTCGACCTGCATGCACAGAGCAGTCTCTGGTGTGGACCAATCAGTTGCAAAGACAATGCATCATTAATATACTACAAAAGCGTATTGTTTGTTTGCACGTTCACCGCAAGGTACTGTGTGTGGTTAACGCAGACAGGATTCCTTGTTTGGCGATTCGACATCTTCACGCAACTTTCCTCTTGACAGAACGGGTAAAACCTTTTCTTGCGCACGGGGTCATTAGCGACGAACCTGCCGCGCTTATTCTTCGTCCCGTCAAGAGCGACAGCCCCCGCCGTTGCCGCGTCCATCCGTGCGGCGCTCCCTAGCGTGTCTCTCCGGCGTCGCCCCCCGCTCTGCCAGGTGAACGAGACTCACGTCCTCTACGAGAACACCGTCCTCGTCATGGACGAGGACGACGAGGGGGGGGCAGAGGGGGAGGGGAGGCGGAGCACCGGCACCCCACCGCTGGTGTCCCGCGGCTCGCTGGCGCTGCGCTGGGCCTGCGTCTACCCCAGGAGCTACCGCACCACTCTGGGCTACGCGCTGAGTGACGGCGCGTGGGCACGCGGGGCCCCCCCCAGGTGAGGGCTGGGGCTGGGCCCCCCCCCACACTCCCCCCACCACCCCCCCCCCCCACTCTGGCTAGTGGTAGCAATAGGCGGGGTAAAGTGAGGGTGGCGAGGTTCGTTCTCGATGTGGAGGAGGAGGAGGGCAACACCGGAGGAGCCCGGAGAATGCTCCCACGGGGAGAGAGAACGCGCGGACTCGCTCACACTCGCTCACACCCACTCACACCCACTCACTCGCTCACACTCGCTCACACCCACTCGGTCACACCCACTCACACTCGCTCGCTCACACTCACTCGCTCACACCCACTCGCAGATACTCGCACTCGCTCATAATAACACTCCCTTACTAACACTCGCTCGCACTCATTGACGCTCACGAACGCTCACACACTCGCTCACACTTGCACAAACTCACTCGCTGGCACTCGCTCATAATAACGCTCGCTCGCACTCGCTCACACGCTCGTTCACGTACTTGCTCTCACTCGCTCACACTCGCCCACACACTTGCTCACGCTCGCTCGCTCGCCGATAACGCTCGCTCACACCGTCGAACAGGGGAGAGAATCTGCGTGCGCAGCAGGCGTCCCCAGGGTCCGGGATCGAACCCACACCAGGGCTGCCATCTCCCTCGCCACCTTTCTTTGCCGTCGCCTCCCCCGCGGGTCTTTCCGCGGTCCGCCAACCCTTCACGGCGCGCCAGCGTGTGTCGACCCTTCCGTCGTGTCGACCCTTCCGTCTTCTCCCTCGGTCGTGACCCCCCCCACCCCCCCCCCCCCCCCCCCCCCCCCCACAGCGCCAGCCCCGCGGCCGCGACCGTCCTTGTCGGCCACGGCGCCGGGGTGAAGGTGCGCCTGGCGATGTCGCTGTACCGCAGCGCGGCGTTCGCGCCGGGCGACGCGCTGGCGCCGCCGGGCACGGGGCCGCTGCCCGTGGCGCTCTCCGGCTCTCTGCACCTGGAGGTGCGGGCGCAGCTGCTGGGCAGCGCCTTCGGCGAGGAGCCCCTGACGCTGGCGCTGCTGGCCTGCTGGGCCACGGGCACGCCCAGCGCCGACGACCCCGTCTCGGTGGAGCTGATCCACGGCGGGTGAGAGGCCGCCGCTGTGCCCCACCCCCACGTGTCTCTCCACCACCACCCCCCCCCTCACCCCCCGTGTCCCTCATTTACTCGCTCACTCGTACACGCACTCAATCACGGCCGGGATTCGAACTCGTGTCTGTGAGGTCACAGGCCCAATGTAAAATCTGCCCCCCCCACCCCCGTGTTTCCTTAAACCCCCACCGCCTCGCCCCCACCTCCTCGCCCCCCGCCTCCTCGCCCCCCGCCTCCTCACCCCCCGCCTCCTCACCCCCCACCTCCTCGCCCCCCCCGCCTCCTCGCGCCCCCCACCTCCTCGCCCAGCTGCGCGAGGGACGAGACGCTGCGCTGGCACGGCGAGAACGGCCGGGCCCTCTGGAGCCGCTTCTCCGTCGCCATGTTCCACTTCGCGCGCCGGGAGACGGCGCCGCTGCACCTGCACTGCCGCGTGCGTGTGTGCGGCGCCAGCGCACGCGGGCGCTGCCTGCTGGTGCGAACACCGCCCCACCGTAGCCGCCGCCGCCAGCAGCACCACAGCCATAGCCACCACCGCCTATGCCACCAGCACCGCCATCATGGCCAGCTCCAACACCATCACCACCACCACCGTAGCCACCACCAGCAGTACCACAACCATAGCCACCACTGCCTATGCCACCAGCACCGCCATCATGGCCAGCGCCGCCACCACCACCACCGTAGACACCACCAGCAGTACCACAACCATAGCCACCACCGCCTTTGCCACCAGCACCGCCATCATGGCCAGCGCCGCCACCACCACCACCACCGTAGCCACCACCAGCAGTACCACAACCATAGCCACCACCGCCTATGCCACCAGCACCGCCATCATGGCCAGCTCCAACACCACCACCACCGTAGCCACCACCAGCAGCACCACAGCCATAGCCACCACCGCCTATGCCACCAGCACCGCCATCATGGCCAGCGCCGCCACCACCACCACCGTAGCCACCACCAGCAGCACCACAACCATAGCCACCACCGCCTATGCCACCAGCACCACCATCATGGCCAGCGCCGCCACCACCACCACCGTAGCCACCACCAGCAGCACCACAACCATAGCCACCACCGCCTATGCCACCAGCACCACCATCATGGCCAGCGCCGCCACCACCACCACCACCGTAGACACCACCAGCAGTACCACAACCATAGCCACCACTGCCTATGCCACCAGCACCGCCATCATGGCCAGCTCCAACACCATCACCACAACCACCGCTTACGGCACCATCACCATGACCACCACCGCCTTACACCAGCGGTCTTTATCGTAAGGCCTGTGCTGACAAACCCCAATGGTTTCAAATGTGTGGCAGCCCTCGCACTGATGATGTCATCTGAAAATGAGTGAAGGACACTGACCTATGCACCAGCACCACCACCAGCACCTACACCATCGCCACCACCACCTACACCATCAAATAAAGATCCCACGTACAGCCTGTAAAGGACTGTCGGGGCAAGTGCTGTTAGCGAGCAACACCTAATGAAGGCCATCGCGGCACACGAGGGGGTGGGTGGCCAGAACCGCGCCCGGCCGCCTTTGTCTCCCCAGTGGCGATGTTTACTACACACCGCACCAGGTACATATTTGAGGCCGAGTCGACCTAGGGGGAGGCCCAGGACCGGTTCGGATAATCGTCACTGGCTGTTTGCCGTGAGCGGGAATCGGACCCGGGTCGCCGGGTTCGTAGCGCGGCGCAGCGCTAACCGCTGCACCACCGCTCCCCACCCACCCACACACCGCCTACACCACCACCACCATCACCATGACCGCCAGCCGCGTGCACGCACCGCTCACCGTCTCCGCGCCCGCCCCCACAGACGTGCCCCGCCAAGCGCTCCTCCGCCAACCGGGAGGGTTCCACTCCCGACGCGGACCCCCGCGCGGGCGGCCCGGAGGACCGGGCGGGCCGGGGTCTCGCCGCCGCCGCGGGGGTGCGGCACGCCCACCCCGGCCCAACGGAGGTCGGGGGCTCCCCCAGGGGCCCACCCACCCGGCGGCGGGTGGCGGTGGACACCACGCTGTCGCTCGGCCCCATCCTCCTCGTGCGGGCTGGAGAGGGAGGGGGCGCCACGGGGCCCGTCGGGGTCGTCACGGACGGTGGGTGGCCACCGGCCGCTCACGCTCGCCCCCTTAGCGCCATGCCGGCTGCTGCTGCTGCTGCCTCTGCTGCTGCTGCCTCTGCTGTTGCTTCTACTGCTGCTGCTGCCTCTACTCCTGCTGTTGCTTCTACTCCTGCTGCTGCCTCTACTGCTGCTGCTGCCTCTACTACTGCTGCTGCCTCTACTGCTGCCTCTACTGCTGCCTCTGCTGCTGCCTCTACTGCTGCTGCTGCTGCCTCTACTCCTGCTCCTACCTCTACTCCTGCTGCTGCCTCTACTGCTGCCTCTACTGCTGCCTCTACTACTGCCTCTGCTGCTACTGCCTCTGCCTCTACTGCTGTTGCTGCCTCTACTACTGCCTCTACTGCTGCTGCTGCGAGGGAGGCGTAGAGGAGCCTCGTTCACTCAGGAGGGAGCCACGGTGGCTCTGAGATGTTAACTACCTCGCCTGGTGTACAGGAGGTCGTGGGTTCTATCTCGACCCTGGCAATGCCTGCTGTATAATTGGAGGCTGTCTGTATCTCTGTCATCATCATCATTACCACGGTGGCTCTGAGATGTTAACTACCTCGCCTGGTATACAGGAGGTCGTGGGTTCTATCTCGACCCTGACAATGCCTGCTGTATAATTGGAGGCTCTGTCTGTATCTCTATCATCATCATTACCACGGTGGCTAGGAGATGTTAACTACCTCGCCTGGTATGCAGGAGGTCGTGGGTTATATCCCGACCCTGACAACTGCTGTATATTTGGAGTCTGCGTGTCTCTCTCTCTCCCAGTGGTCGCGTGGATTTTTCTCCGGGTCCTCCGGTTTTTCCCTCCGCACTTGGAATCGACGTGACGCGTTTTTAGAGCATTCGGCCGCTATGAATATCCACGCGACGCTAAGCCCACAAACTTGGTCGAGGCTCTCATTTCTGATGGCCAGGTCGCTTTTGAAAAAAAGAGCGGACGCAGTAGCTCAGTGGTGCCTCCTTACCTGCGAGAAGAATGCTTTTGTTTTATAGTTAAACCTCCTAACTACAGTAACCCCCATCACATACTCTTTGGTTCTAGATTTGAAGCTTTCGTGACTGCGAGGATCCATACCCTTTGGTTCTATTCGGTAAAATCACATAGGTAAAAATGAAATGACAAAAATCGCGACGTTTCGGCCACAACACAAGTGGCCTTCATCAGGTGAAGGGACTGGACTGTCCAGAGGACAGCGTTGGAGTGAAGACAGCCAAGCCCAGGTCGCGTCCTTTAAGCTGTGTGGGAGGAAACAAAAACGCCTTGACAAAGGAATTAGCTTAACAATGATGTACTGGACCCGCACGGTGGGGGGGGGGGGGAGTTTACATAATGTTGGTGTGAAGGCAAACTTTCACAGCAGCGTTTTTCCCTTCTCACCAACATTATGTAAACTCCCCCCCCACCCCCACCGTGCCGGTCCAGTACATCATTGTTATGCTACATCATTGTTATGCTAATTCCTTTGTCAAGGCGTTTTTTGTTTCCTCCCACACAGCTTAAAGGACGTGACCTGGGGGCTTGGCTGTCTTCACTCCAGCGCTGTCCTCTGGACAGTCCGGTCCCTTCACCTGATGAAGGCCACTTGTGTTGTGGCCGAAACGTCGTGATTTTTGTCATTTCATTTTTACACCTACGTGACTTTACCGAATAGAACCAAAGAGTAGTAGAGTAGTATACTCTTTGGTTCTATTCGGTAAAGTCACGTAGGAAGAAAAATAAAATAAAATAATATATCACGACGTTTCGTGTTCTTCCTGGTTCGGCAGTTTCCACTGCTGGATTATTATTTTTTTTCCGCCCGAGGACGGACCGCTTGTGGTGTTGCGCCCAAAACGTCGCCAGTTATTTTATTTTTCTACCCACGTGACTTTGCCAAAAGGACCAAAGAGTGTGGATTCCTGCAGTCACGAAAGCTTCAAATCAAGATTTTACCCCCTGGCACGCCGCACAGATGGATTCTTGTCGTCCTAAAACCACCTCGCCCCTACTGTTACCCCTCCCAACAACCACCCCCTTCCACGACCCCCACCACCAAAGACGAAGATCCCCCGTGTAGCCTGTAACAGACTGTAGGGGCAAGCGCCGTTAGCGAGCAGCACCTATGAAGGCCGGCACGGCACACGAGGGGGGGTGGGTGGCCAGCACCACGCCCGACCGCCTTTGTCTCCCCAGTGGCGATGTTGACGCACCGCACCAGGCACTCGGTTGAGGCCGAGTCGACCTAGCGGGAGGCCCAGGACCGGTTCAGAAAATCGTCACCGGTGTTGGCCGTGAGCGGGAATTGAACTCGGGTCGCCGGGTTCGTAGCGTAGTGCGCTAACCGCTGCACCACCGCTCCTCCACCACCACCACCACCACCAGGCCTAAGAGGGGGAGGGCCCTTTGGTGGTTGTGCTAGGTGGCACGACGTAGTTGTGGTTGTTGTAACTGTTGTTGTGCTAGGTGGCACGCTGTAGTTGTGGTGGTTGTTGGTGGTGATTGTGGTTGTAGGCAGCATTCTGTTGTGGTGGTTGTAGGCGGGACGCTGTAGTTTTGGTTGTGCTAGGTGGCACGCTGTGGTTGTGGTCGTGGTTGTGCTAGGTGGCACGCTGTGGTTGTAATTGTTGTTGTGGTTGTGCTAGGTGGCACGCTGTGGTTGTGGTCGTTGTTGTGGTTGTGCTGGGTGGCACGTTGTGGTTGTAATTGTTGTGGTTGTGCTAGGTGGCACGTTGTAGTTGTGGTCGTTGTTGTGCTGGGTGGCACGCTGTGGTTGTGGTTGTAATTGTTGTTGTGGTTGTGCTAGGTGGCACGTTGTAGTAGTTGTGGCTGTAATTGTTGTGGTGGTGGTGCTAGGTGGCACGCTGTGGTTTTGGTCGTTGTTGTGGTTGTGCTAGGTGGCACGTTGTGGTTGTGGTAGTTGTTGTGCTGGGTGGCACGCTGTGGTTGTGGTTGTAATTGTTGTTGTGGTTGTGCTAGGTGGCACGTTGTAGTAGTTGTGGCTGTAATTGTTGTGGTGGTGGTGGTGCTAGGTGCCAGGCCGTGGGCGGGCCCCGTGGTGGTGGTGGTGGCCGTCGCATCGCTGCTCTCCGTGGTGGCTCTGCTCGCCGCCACGTCGCTGCTCCTCCGGCGCCTCCTGCGGCCGCGCCTCGAGCTCCACCGGGAGGCCAACCGCACCGCGCGCCGCCTGGCCCCCCCGCCCCCACCACGGGGGGCGGAGGGGGCAGGGGGACACCCCCGCCGCGTGAGGGGGGCCGCACGACCCCCGCCGACCCTCGCCGGCGATCGGGGGAATACGTTCTCCTGATCCTTGACCCCCCCCCCCCCCCCATGCCCCCCCCCCACGCGGGTCATGAGTTTTTTTTGCTACCCCGTTCACTCTCGGAGCAAGTTGAGAATGACGGAGGAGAGGCGCAAGCTCACGAGACAGCCGCAGACTTAGCGGGGGGCGGGGGGGGGGCGGGGGGGGGGGGGCTGGCTGGTACCGCCACCAGGTTTGATCTCACGTCCTGTAGCAGCGGTCGTGGTGGTAGTATTATAATCGTGTTAACATAATATTATTATAAACATTATTTCCGCGCTTGGCCAACTCACGAGGGTGAGGGCCCAGTTTCAAATGGTGCTCGGCGCATCTTTTTTTTAGTTTTCCCGGTCCTGCGGACCAAATCCCCGCGCGTGCACACACGGACACGCATACACACACGCACACACACACGCATACACACACATACACACACGCACACACATGCACATACACATGCACATACGCACGCATGCACACACACATGCACACACGCACATACACGCACGCATGCACATGCACACACACACGCTCACACACGCACACACATACACACACACATACACACACACACATACACACGCACGCACACGCACACACATACGCACACGCACACACGCACACGCGCACACGCACACACACATACGCACACGCACACACACACATACGCGCACACACACATACACGCACACGCACATACACGCACACGCACACACACGCACACACACACATACACACACGCACGCACACACACACACATACACACACACATCACACACACGCACACACACACATACACACACGCACGCACGTACACCTTGCTTGGTCGGCACCAGGTCGGTCATCGACACCGGTGCCCCCCGGGTCTATGCGCCGATGGAGGTTGTTTCAGCCACGCGGAGACTCGGCATCGGTAGCCACCTCCTGGGTTACGGACCAACAACGACAACAACAGCAGCTGCTGCTGCTGCTGCCGCCAGCCGAACGCGCGGGGAGTCTCCCCGCACTATCGCTGCTCACTCACCCCCCCACCCCCACCACCTCGACCCATGAACCCATGGGTGTCCGGACCCCCCCGCCCCCCCCCCCCCCGGATCGAGGGTCCCTTAGAGCCTCTTGACCATGGGTCCTCTAGGGCCCCCCCTCCCTTACCCCCCTGCTCCTCCTTCTCCTCCTCCTAGGTCTTTGAACCAAATCCCACCCACCCACCAAGCTCCACCCACCCACCAAGCTCCACCCGCCCACCAAGCTCCACCCACCCACCAAGCTCCACCCACCCACCAAGCTCCACCCACCCACCAAGCTCCACCCACCACCGCTGTGGGTCCCGTTGACGGCTGTGAGGCTGTGAATTTGAACGCAGGAGCAGTCCAGTGACGATGGCTGTGGTTGGTGGACCTCGGCGGCGGCGGTGGTGGCGGCGGCTGTGGTGGTGGTTGTGGTTGTGGTGGTGGTTGTGGTGGTGGTGGTGGTGGTTAGCGCTGCTGAGCTACAAACCCCGGCGCACCCGATGTGTGGATCCGCGGCACCACAGCCACCGATTCCAGGCGATGATGACATCCGAACCGGTCCTGGGGCACCTCCTTCCTTCCTTCCCCCCCCCTCCTTAGGGAGTAGGGGGGGTCGACTAGGCCTCGTGAGTGGAGTGAACGTCTCCACTTTGGAGACAAAGGCGGCCGGGCGTGGTGCTGGCCACCCTTCACAAGGTGCTGCTGCTGCTGCTTGCTAGAACAGCACTTGCCCCAACAGTCTGTTACAAGCTGCAGTGCACGCAAGCCCCGTCAACCCCCTTATCAGTGCCCTACCTTGGTACAGACCAATTCTAGACCTTATTGGTGACCCCGTGCCCCCTGTGCGTCTTAACGTTCGTCCTACAAAGTCGCATCACGAGGGAGAAACTCGCACACATAGAACATTACCACTGCTACACTCGCCACTACACTCGCCACTACATACCTTGTCAACCCCTTATCACTGCCCTGCCTTATTCCATTCACATTGAGGCTTTATTGGTCACCCCGTGCCCTTCTCAAATTTCAAAGTAGATCCTACAAAGTCCCCATCTCAAGGCAGAAACACAAACAAATAGACACAAATGTTTTTTTTGCTTGTGTTGAAACGGCTGTACCTCGTAATGGACCTGAACAATAAAATGTCCTTGTACAAGAATACGGCTTGACACGGTATAGGGTGACACGGTACGGGGTGACACGGTTAGGGTGACACGGTATGGGGTGACACGGTATGGCTTGACACGGTATGGCTTGACACGGTATGAGGTGACACGGTTTGGGGTGACACGGTACGGGGTGACACGGTATAGGGTGACACGGTTTGGGGTGACACGGTTTGGGGTGACACGGTACGGGGTGACACGGTATGGGGTGACACGGTACGGGGTGACACGGTACGGGGTGACACGGTTTGGGGTGACACGGTTTGGGGTGACACGGTTTGGGGTGACACGGTATGGGGTGACACGGTTTGGGGTGACACGGTTAGGGTGACACGGTACGGGGTGACACGGTATGGGGTGACACGGTTAGGGTGACACGGTACGGGGTGACACGTGCTGCTGTTCGCTCACCCACTCCCCACAGTCGGTTACAGGCTACAGGGTGGTGCGGGAAGAGACCCCATTAGTGGTGGTGGTTGTCATTGTTGTTGTTTTATGACTTCGTGGTCTTTATCGAATCGTGGGCATCCACATCAGCCGCCGTCAACAACAACAACCACCACCGCCATTCGCCACTCGAGTGGCGGTGACGGCCACCACGGCGCTGGTGCCAGGCTCTGTGCACGTAAACGACCACGGCTGTTCGAGTGCGTGACGGGAGCTGTGGCACGGATCCACTGCTGGTCTGTGACCCGCGGCGCAATAAAACTGCTCCTGCGTAACCGGTAACCGCACCGAATTAATACCGGTTAATACCGGTTCGTGTGCGGGACCTGTATAAAGTCTTTAGCCTTCTGCTGCAGCCTCGCCTCACCACATTGTGGTTCTCCAATGAAGGCATCATCGTCGGGTGTTGCCGATACAAAGCGTGTTGTGGACTTGAAGTCACGTTGCCCCGTGATTTGATTTGTGTTTACGATGATTGCGCCTGCTGAAGAAAAACCTGACCAAGCCTCGCATCCACACCCAGGAAGGGCACCCCAGGTTCTACACTATACACTACACTATACACTACACTATAGACTACAATACTATACACTACACTCTACACTACACTATACACTACTATACACTACTATAGACTACACTATACATTACACTATAGACTACACTACTCTACACTACACTCTACACTACACTCTACACTACTATAGACTACACTATACATTACACTATAGACTACACTACTCTACACTACACTCTACACTACACTCTACACTACACTATACACTACTATGCACTACTATAGACTACACTATACACTACACTACAGACTACAATATACACTACACTATAGACTACACTATACACTACACTATACACTACACTATACACAACACTATATACTACACTATACACCACTACAGACTACACTATACACTACACTATACACTACAATATACACTACACTATACACTGCACTATACACTACAATATACACTACACTATACACTACACTATACACTACACTATACACTACGCTATAGACTACACTATATACTACACTATATATTACACTATACACTATAGACTACACTATACACTATAGACTATACACACTCTAAACACTACATTATACACTATACACTACACGATAAACTACACACACTCTATAGACTACACTATAGACTGCACTATACACTATAGACTACACTATACAATATAGACTACTCTATACACTATAGACTACACTATAGACTACACTATAGACTATAAACTACACTATAGACTACACTATAGACTACACTATAGACTACACTATAGACTACACTATAGACTACACACTCTATATACCAGCGGTTCTTAACCTTTAATGCAGTTTTGACACCCGCCTGGATCTCAATCATTAAACAATTTCAAGTTAATAAACATACATATGGGGTTTGATGAAATAAAGTAAGTGGTTCAATCTTCATTTGAAGCTTTCGTGACTTAAATAATCCATACTCTGTGGCTCTGTCGGTAAAGTCACGTCGGTATAAAATAAAATAAATAATTCATTTTCCACGAGTATAAAGCAAGTGGTTGCTTGGGCTTGCCCCGTGGCTTAATTTGCGTTTTTTTTTCTTCTTCCGATTATTTGCCTTAAAACAAAAAGAACAAAAAGCCTGGCCACGTCTCTCCACCTCCGGAGGCTTACGCGTGCACCTCACGTCAGGAGGAGCCACGACAGACGACCGCTACTCAAGAGGCACCACCGATAGGGTAGAGTCCCACCCGTTCGACGCGAAATTCATCGGTGGCTAACGAGTGTCGCCCCCCCCAGCCACCTCTCTCTCTCTCTGTCTGTCTCTCGCGCGCGTCATTCACGGTCGTTCTGAGCCACACTGGCGGTGGGGGGAGAGGCGGTAGAGGAGGGGGGGGGGGGGTGTCCACGTTCTCATGACGAGAGGGGGAGACGCGCCGAGGGAGTAATCTGACTTTGCCTGGGGGTAATGGGGCTCTGACTGGGGGTAATGGGACTCTGCCTAGGGGTAATGGGACTTTGCCTGGGGGTAATGGGACTTTGCCTGGGGGTAATGGGACTTTGCCTGGGGGTAATGGGACTCTGTCTAGGGGTAATGGGACTCTGTCTAGGGGTAATGGGACTCTGTCTAGGGGTAATGGGACTCTGTCTAGGGGTAATGGGACTCTGTCTAGGGGTAATGGGACTCTGTCTAGGGGTAATGGGACTCTGTCTAGGGGTAATGGGACTTTGTCTAGGGGTAATGGGACTTTGTCTAGGGGTAATGGGACTTTGTCTAGGGGTAATGGGACTTTGTCTAGGGGTAATGGGACTCTGTCTAGGGGTAATGGGACTTTGTCTAGGGGTAATGGGACTCTGTCTAGGGGTAATGGGACTCTGCCTAGGGGTAATGGGACTCTGTCTGGTGGTAATGGGACTCTGTCTGGTGGTAATGGGACTGTCTGGGGGTAATGGGACTCTGCCTAGGGGTAATGGGACTCTGCCTTGGGGTAATGGGACTATGTCTAGGGGTAATGGGACTCTGCCCTGGGGGTAATGGGACTCTGCCCTGGGGGTAATGGGACTATGTCTAGGGGTAATGGGACTCTGCCCTGGGGGTAATGGGACTCTGTCTGGGGTAATGGGACTCTGTCTAGGGGTAATGGGACTCTGTCTGGGGGTAATGGGACTCTGTCTGGGGGTAATGGGTTTCTGTCTAGGGGTAATGGGGCTCTGTCTAGGGGTAATGGGACTCTGCCCTGGGGGTAATGGGGCTCTGCATGGGGTCAATGGGACTCTGGCGCGGGGTGCGGATGGACGACATCGTCGATCTCCATGGCAGAGTGCGTCTTAACAACTTCACCGCTGCTAACGCTACTCACGTGCGGTAAACTATTGAGTTATTAATCATTATAATAATAATTATTATTCCGTGTGCGGAGCGGATTTTCGCGGGCGATGTGGAAGCGCTGTACGGGACGCAGCAGCGGACACGAGGCGTCACGAGAAGTAACGATATCGTAAGCCATTTACTGAATGAACATATGCATTAGGTAAGCGCATAAAAACGGGTTCTGAAGACGCATCTAAGAAAATGTCCACGGACACGCAGAGGCGGCTGCACGCCGTCGACGAGCGGCGCGTAGCCCTGGTAGGCTTACACGGGAAACATCTTGGGGTCACCCGGAGGCCGAAGGCGCTTGGGTGAGTGGGCTGGGTGCAGGCTGTCTTGGGTGAGCGGGTGGTGAGTGGGCTGTGTGCAGGCTGGCTTGGGTGAGCGGGTGGTGAGTGGGCTGGGTGCAGGCTGGCTTGGGTGAGTGGGCTGGGTGCAGGCTGGCTTGGGTGAGCGGGTGGTGAGTGAGCTGGGTGCAGGCTGGCTTGGGTGAGCGGGTGGTGAGTGGGCTGGGTGCAGGCTGGCTTGGGTGAGTGGGCTGGGTGCAGGCTGGCTTGGTTGAGCGGGTGGTGAGTGAGCTGGGTGCTGGCTGGCTTGGGTGAGCGGGTGGTGAGTGGACTGGGTGCAGGCTGGCTTGGGTGAGTGGGTGGTGAGTGGGCTGAGTGCAGGCTGGCTTGGGTGAGCGGGTGGTGAGTGGGCTGAGTGCAGGCTGGCTTGGGTGAGTGGGTGGTGAGTGTGGCTGTGTGCAGGCTGGCTTGGGTGAGCGGGTCTTGAGTGGACTGAGTGCAGGTTGGCTTGGGTGAGCGGGTGGTGAGTGGACGGAATGTGTTTGGGTGAGTGGTGGTGAGTGGACAGGTGGTGTGTTTGGGTGAGTGGTGGTGAGTAGACGGGGTGGAGAAGGCGATTGTGTGGTTGAGGGTAATTGGGGATGTTTCAAGCAGTTGTGGTGACGGTGGTAGTGGTTTAAGTGGTGGTTTTGGTGGTGGTGGGTTTAGCCTTGGCGGTTTTAGTGGTGGTCAGTTCATCGGTTGTGTGGCTCTTTTTACGTGGTATCTTCGATTTTAGTGGTGGGTTTCGTGGTAGTGGCTTTAGTGGTGGTTGTGATTGTGGTGGTGGTGGTGGTTATGGTGTTGATTTAATGGTGGTGGTGGCGGCGGTGGTGGTTTTTAGTGGCGTTGAATGAATTGGTCGTGGTGGTGCGGATTTTTTGTGGTAGCTGCGATTTTGGTGGTGGTCGTGTGGTTTTGGTGGTGCTGATTCTAGTGGTGGTTTTGGTGGTGACGATTTTAGTGGTGGTCGTGTGATTTTGGTGATGGTGGTGATTTTAGTGGTGGTGGTGGTTTTCGGTGGTGATGTGGTGACATTGCCGGATGTCAACATGCTGGGTGTAGTACCCGGCCCTTGCGAGGCAAGGCGTGTGGTGTAACGACATCGCGGATACCACAGTGGTGTAGGTGTAGTACCGGCCATAGGAGGGGCCCGGTGAGCGCTGAATAATAGCGTTAGATCGCACCACGCTTGGCGTGCAGTGCCGACCCCTACAGGACAGGGTTGTGCGGGTTGCCGGCAGAAGGATGAGGTTACTCGAGGCCATGGCACTCTGGACACGTGACCGGTTAAGTCTACAAAGGGGGCCCTTAGACGGGGGGCTAGGGGTGGTCACGTGATTGGGACCCAGATGCTTCCCGAGGATTCTGGAAGGTGGACGTGGCCAAGAGCGGAACCTGGTCACGCTGCCGGGTCCCTAGAGGGACCGGGGTTGTTGTTGTTGTTGTTCATCCTGGGAGAAACCCTTCGTCTGCGTTCTCCGTTCAACAAGTCTCCAACACGTGGGCCTGGGCCGAAGCCGTTGGTCCCGGTCCGTAGTAGCAGTCACCTGGTGACTAGTGCAGTAACTAATGTAGTAAGTAGTGTAGTAACTAGTGTAGTAGCTAGTGTAGTAAGTAGTGTAGTTAGCCTGGTGGTCACCACCAGGCTAACTACACCAGTCACGTGGTAACTAGTGTAGCTAGCCTGGTGGTCACCACCCGGCTAACAACACCAGTCACGTGGTAACTAGTGTAGCTAGCCTGGTGGTCACCACCCGGCTAACAACACCAGTCACGTGGTAACTAGTATAGCTAGCCTGGTGGTCACCACCTGGCTAGCTACACCAGTCACGTGGTAACTAGTGTAGCTAGCCTGGTGGTCACCACCTGGTGAACTACACCAGTCACGTGGTAACTAGTGTGGTTAGCCTGGTGGTCACCACCAAGTTAACTACACCAGTCACGTGGTAACTAGTGTAGCTAGCCTGGTGGTCACCACCTGGCTAATTACACCAGTCACGTGGTAACTAGAGTAGTTATCCTGGTGGTCACCACCCAGCTAACAACACCAGTCACGTGGTAACTAGTATAGCTAGCCTGGTGGTCACCACCTGGCTAGCTACACCAGTCACGTGGTAACTAGTGTAGCTAGCCTGGTGGTCACCACCTGGCTAGCTACACTAGTCACGTGGTAACTAGTGTAGCTAGCCTGGTGGTCACCACCAGGTTAACTACACCAGTCACGTGGTAACTAGTGTAGCTAGCCTGGTGGTCACCACCTGGCTAATTACACCAGTCACGTGGTAACTAGAGTAGTTATCCTGGTGGTCACCACCCAGCTAACTACACCAGTCACGTGGTAACTAGTGTAGCTAGCCTGGTGGTCACCACCCAGCTAACTATACCAGTCACGTGGTAACTAGTGTAGCTAGCCTGGTGGTCACCACCTGGCTAGCTACACTAGTCACGTGGTAACTAGTGTAGCTAGCCTGGTGGTCACCACCCAGCTAACTATACCAGTCACGTGGTAACTAGTGTAGCTAGCCTGGTGGTCATCACCTGGCTAACAACACCAGTCACGTGGTAACTAGTATAGCTAGCCTGGTGGTCACCACCTGGCTAGCTACACCAGTCACGTGGTAACTAGTGTAGTTAACGTGTTGGTCACCACCCGGTTAACTACACCAGTCACGTGGTAACTAGTGTAGCTAGCCTGGTGGTCACCACCAGGCTAACTACACCAGTCACGTGGTAACTAGTGTAGTTAACGTGTTGGTCACCACCCGGTTAACTACACCAGTCACGTGGTAACTAGTGTGGCTAGCCTGGTGGTCATCACCTGGTTAACAACACCAATCACGTGGTAACTAGTGTAGCTATCCTGGTGGTCACCACCCAGCTAACAACACCAGTCACGTGGTAACTAGTGTAGCTAGCCTGGTGGTCACCACCTGGCTAGCTACACTAGTCACGTGGTAACTAGTGTGGCTAGCCTGGTGGTCATCACCCGGCTAACAACACCAGTCACGTGGTAACTAGTGTAGTTATCCTGGTGGTCACCACCCAGCGAACTACACCAGTCACGTGGTAACTAGCGTAGTTACTAGTGTAGCTAGCCTGGTGGTCACCACCATAGGTCGTTATTCTGTTAAGGGGAAAGTTACCCCGTGTGTTGGAACTGAATAAATGTGCTGACTCCAAGTCTACGTCTGCGACTCAGCTGAACCCATTACAGTGACATTAGCGGCGGCGGCGGCGGCGGCGGCGGCGGCGGCTTCTTGGTGCTCCGCAGCGGTTGCCAGGCTGCAGGAGACGGTTGCTAGGCGACGGGCAGGTTCATCGCCAGGAGGAGGCCCAGGCCCAGAGTCCCCAGCTGCACGAGGCCCCGGGTGGCAGCGTTGCCTCCGGGGGGGTCTGGAGCCCCCCCGGGGGGGTCTCGGACCCCACCGCGGGGGTCTGGGGCGACCCTGGTGGGGTCTGGGGCTCCCCCGGGGGGGTCTGGGGCTCCCCCGGGGGGGTCTGGGGCGACCCCGGGGATGCTCGATTTTCCCTCCGCACGAACTGGGGTAGAAAGAGCACGGATTCTCAAGAACAGCACCACCACCACCACGCACCACCACCACGCTCCACCACCACGCTCCACCACCACGCTCCACCATCACCACCACGATCCACCACCACGCTCCACCACCACCACCACCACGCACCACCACCAGCCACCACCACCATGCTCCATTACCACCACCACCACCACCACGCACCACCACGCACCACCACCACCACGCTCCACCACCATGATCCACCACCACTATGACTGAGTGTCACTATGACGTCACTATGACTGAGTGTCACTATGACTGAGTGTCACTATGACGTCACTATAACTGTCGCTATGACGTCACTATGGCTGTCGCTATGACGTCACTATGGCTGATTGTCACTATGACTGAGTGTTGCTATGACTGAGTGTCACTATGACTGAGTGTCACTATGACTGAGTGTCGCTATGACGTCACTATGACTGAGTGTTACTATGACTGAGTGTCGCTATGACTGAGTGTCCCTATGACTGAGTGTCACTATGACGTCACTATAAGTGAGTGTCACTATGACGTCACTATGACTGAGTGTCGCTATGACTGAGTGTCGCTATGACTGAGTGTCACTATGACGTCACTATGACTGAGTGTCGCTATGACTGAGTATCGCTATGACTGAGTGTCCCTATGACTGAGTGTCACTATGACGTCACTATAACTGAGTGTCACTATGACGTCACTATGACTGAGTGTCGCTATGACTGAGTGTCGCTATGACTGAGTGTCACTATGACGTCACTATGACTGAATGTCACTATGACGTCACTATGACTGAGTGTCGCTATGACTGAGTGTCGCTATGACTGAGTGTAACTATGACGTCACTATGACTGAGTGTCCCTATGACGTCACTATGACTGAGTGTCGCTATGACTGAGTGTCGCTATGACTGAGTGTCACTATGACGTCACTATGACTGAGTGTCGCTATGACTGAGTGTCGCTATGACGTCACTGTGACTGAGTGTCGCTATGACGTCACTATGACTGACTGCTGTAGTAAACAACAACAACAACAATCCCCCCCCCACCACTCACAGCAGATTTTGTTGTGGCACTTCCCGCTGCATTTGCTGCAGGGCGTCCCCACGCGGTACGGCCGCTCGTCCTCGAAGTTTCCGCTGGGAAGCGGCGGGGTTGGTGGGGGGAAGGGGGGGCAGGGACAAGGGGGGGGGCAGGGACAAGGGGGGGGCAGGGACAAGGGGGGGGGCAGGGACAAGGGGGGGGCAGGGACAAGGGGGGGGCGAGTCAAGGAAGAACGACACCCACCCCCCCCCCCCCCACGTACCGCACGGAATCTCAGAGCCGCACGCCCCCCCCCACAAAGAAAACCATCGAGACCCTCTCACTGTGCTGTGATCACATCGCTTGACTGCTGCCACCGGCGAGGGGGGGCGGGGGGGGGCAGGCGTCTGTAGGCCGTGCTGAGACTCGCGAGGCTCGCACGGATAGCCCCTAGGCGGGTGGGGGGGGGGGGTTGGTGGGGGGGGTTGGTGGGGGGGGTTGGTTGGGGGGGTTAGTGGGGGGGGTTAGTGGGGATTGGGGGGGGTTGGTGGGGGGGGTTGGTGGGGGGGGTTAGTGGGGGGGGGTTAGTGGGGGGGGTTAGTGGGGATTGGGGGGGGTTGGTGGAGGGGGTTGGTGGGGGTTGGTGGGGGGAGTTGGTGGGGGGGGGTTGGTGTGGGGGTTGGTGGGGGGAGTTGGTGGGGGGGGGTTGGTGGGGGGGTTGGTGGGGGTTGGTGGGGGGGGTTGGTGGGGGTTGGTGGGGGGGGGTTGGTGGGGGTTGGTTGGTGGGGGGGTTGGTGGGGGGGTTGGTGGGGGGGGTTGGTGGGTGCATCCTTGACCGGCAGAAGCAGGAACGATTAAGCGGTCCCATTTCTATTGAGGAGTTGACGGGGCGGGGGGGGGTGGGTATCTCTGCCACGTGTTGGTTTAAATCAAGAGAAGAAGAATAATAATAAACTATATTTATCGAACGCGTTAACCTGGTAAGGAGAGAGACTTTACATTAAGGGAGGGGGGGGAGGGTCATATGGAACAAACGCATGGGCATTTTATTCACGTTTCAAATTAACAATCGGAGAAGAATACTCATCAATAATTAAACCAGATGTATATCATGGGATAAATCATCATTAAAGAAGGCTGCTCTCTCTGTAGTAGGCCAATCCGTTTCCAAGACAATGCATATATCATCAGGGCATGTTTGCATGTCCATCACAAGTAGTACTGTGTGTGGTTAATGAGGTAACGTGATTCCTTGCAAAAGGTATCTACACTATTTGCTGTTTCAACAACTTAACACTACTCCTATTTTATTGGCAGCAAGGGTATAAAACCGACCCCTATACTGTGTAGGAACCTCCTGGTTACTAAACCAGCAGCCCACAGGGAATTACTGTTGTGTCTGTCCGTCCGTCGTGCATCCAAAAATGGGTGGGGAGGGGCTGGGTGGGGAGGGTGGGGCTAGGTGGGGGTGGGAGGGGTGGGGCTGGGTGTGGAGGGGCTGGTCACCCCGTGGTACCCTTATAAAACTCAACGTTTAACCTACTCACGCCGGCTCGTGCCCGCCCTCACAGTCGGGCATATTGTGCTGAATACACCACGTGGTGGTGCCGTTGACCCTGGCCATTGACCGAGCAACCCAACGTTCCTACCAGCTCCCTCCGCAGGAATGTGTTTGTGCATCATTAAGTCAGAATGTGTGTGTGTGTCATCTGCTGTATACCCGCTGCTGTGTTTGTGTAAAACTTGATTCCTTGCAAAGGGAATCATCTGTTTTGGTGTTGGAAGATCTTAACACAACACCTGCTTTATTGCCAGAAAGAGTAAAACCTATGTTTGTTTTTCAAACCAGATGTATGTAAGTTGAACTTCTTTCGCATCGTGCGTAGACGACCGTGCTAATCGGAGGTGCTGGGGGGGGGGGGAAGGAGAACAAACTAAACACACACAGAAAACTATTCTAAAGAAATGAGCTTATCAATAGAGATACTTACTTAAAAGCGCTTAGCTACCAGTGGCTTCCTAACACCGTATCGGAAGGATGAGCAGTACCGACACTGCAGAATGTGAAGAACCAGTGGCATCTACATCTGCAGAACGTGAAGAACCAGTGGCATCTACATCTGCAGAAATTGAAGAACCAGTGGCATCTACATTTGCAGAAATTGAAGAACCAGTGGCATCTACATCTGCAGAAATTGAAGAACCAGTGTCATCTACATCTTCAGAAATTGAAGAAGCAATGGCATCTACATTTGCAGAACATGAAGAACCAGTGGCATCTACGTCTGTAAAACGTGAGGAACCAGTGGCATCTACATCTGCAGAACAAGAAGAACCAGTGGAATCTATATCTACAGAACATGAAGAAACTGTGGCATATACATCTGTAGAACGTGAAGAACCAGTGGCGTTTACATCTGCAGATCATGAAGAACCAGTGGTCTGTACATCTGCAGAACATGAAGAACCAGTGGCATCTACATCTGCAGAACATGAAGAACCAGTGCCATCTACATCTGCAGAACAAGAAGAACCAGTAGTCTCTACATCTGTGGAAAATGAAGAACCAATGCCATCTACATCTGCAGAACATGAAGAATCAGTGGCATATACATCTGTAGAACATGAAGAACCAGTGGCATTTCTAGATTTAAAGCTTTCGTGACTGCTAGGATCCATACTCTTTGGTTCTATTGGGTAAAGTCACGTAGGTGAAAATAAAATAACAAAAAATCACGACGTTTCGGCCACAACACAAGCGGCCTTCATCAGGTGAAGGGACGAGACTGTCTGGAGGACAGCGCTGTCCTTGTGTTGTGGCCGAAACGTCGTGATTTTTGGTTATTTTATTTTCACCTACGTGACTTTACCCAATAGAACCAAAGAGTATGGAACCAGTGGCATCTACATCTGTAGATCATGAATAACCAGCGGCATCTACATCTGCAGAACACGAAGAACCAGTGGCATCTACATCTGCAGAACATGAAGAACCAGTGGCATCTACATCTGCAGAACACGAAGAACCAGTGGCATCTACATCTGCAGAACACGAAGAACCAGCGGCATCTACAACTTTTAGAGCCATTCACCGTGTTTAGTGTACTCGCCGTACAACTTGTTTGGAATCGACAGGAGGAGTAAATCGATACTCATACTATTCTGTTCTTTCGGCAAAGTCACCTCGATAGAAAATTTATAGATCACGACGTTTCGATCGCAACACAAGCGACCGTCTTCAGGTGAGAGCGAGAAAGCCATTGAAACAGGGTCTGATATATGGGCCTGAGATTAAATCGACTTACGAACAGACCTCTGGAACTTTGCTCGTCCATTCATAAGTAGAGGAGCCCCTGTTACTGTAGATACAATTGAAACCTGGCGAGTGATCCAAAATGACAAAACGTTATGCGTAGCAGCCACTGAGGTGAACTAACCGCACCTCCCATCCGCAACGGCCGACCAGGCATGGTGCGAAAGATGTTCAACATGCCGGACAAACATACAAAGGGGGCAGTGACATTTAAAAAAAAAACTGGCATTTTTGTAGCACGGCAAAAAGAATTGCGGGTTGCATTCCATATTTTTTTTATTTATTGAGAAACTTGAACACACGAGGGAGGGGTGTAGATATCAACCATGATAGAGTTTTTTTTGGGGTTAGATCGCGTAAACAGATTTGTCGTTAAAACCGCCACCAACCGACACACAGCCAATTAGTAATGCTTGTCACGTAAACAAAACGTGGCCTAATCCGTTACGAGTAACGGCACTCCACCGGTTTGCGTGTTGGAGAGTAAAACCCACGGCAACATTCAAAATTCGACTACCCGTCACGTTTCGCCAGTCGTCACGACCAGCATCACCAGGCGACGGGCCACATTTGTATTTCGGTCTTAAATAGATTGTGGGACAACATTGATCGCGAAAGCACCCCTCCTCCTCCTCCGACTGCTACCCCCACCGGGTGTCAAAATCGTAAGGAATCGACGGAGGCAGCCGCGCGAAGATCAAGGGTCGTGAGTGTCGAGTGGCTGCAAAGTTTGGTCGTACGTGTCACGTGTATCGTTTATTGTTAAATTTGAATCACAGTTCCTACGATCACTGTTACGTTGTTTTCATAGCTTTATTTTGGTGATTTCGAAAACGTTTTGGTTTAGCCGTGTTTGTTTGTTGTAGTACAGAGTTGGCCTGGCAACTTGAACCTATATCGTCTTACCGTTGTTATTGTTTTGACTCGTGTGTGTGGTTGGTCACTCTGTAGCACGCGCACGCTAAACAGCACCTATCAGAGCAGGGGCATTGGTAACCCTGACCAGGACCCCGCCTGACGGGTGGAGGCTGTGGAGTGTGTGTGTGTTGTGAGTGTGTGTGTTGTGAGTGTGTGTTGTGAGTGTGTGTGTTGTGAGTGTGTGTTGTGAGTGTGTGTGTTGTGAGTGTGTGTGTTGTGAGTGTGTGTGTTGTGAGTGTGTGTGTTGTGAGTGTGTGTGATGTGAGTGTGTGTGTGTTGTGAGTGTGTGTGTTGTGAGTGTGTGTGTTGTGAGTGTGTGTGTTGTGAGTGTGTGTGTTGTGAGTGTGTGTGTTGTGAGTGTGTGTGTTGTGAGTGTGTGTGTTGTGAGTGTGTGTGTTGTGAGTGTGTGTGTGTTTTGAGTGTGTGTGTGTTGTGAGTGTGTGTGTTGTGAGTGTGTGTGTGTTGTGAGTGTGTGTGTTGTGAGTGTGTGTGTTGTGAGTGTGTGTGTTGTGAGTGTGTGTGTTGTGAGTGTGTGTGTTGTGAGTGTGTGTGTTGTGAGTGTGTGTGTGTGACCCCGTAGAACCCTGCCCCTCGGGCAGAAAGCGGATAAACAAACACAGGTCGTTTGGGCTACCTGTGGCCAGAACCCCTCCTGAGGGGAGGGGGCTGTGGGGGATCTGTGATCCCTCAGAACCCCGCCCCTCGGTGGGGAATCGTATAAAAGGCGGGCTCCTGAGAGCAGAGCTCAGTTCGCGTCAAGCCCAAGCCGAGGAGCCACCTGGAGACGAGACCCTGGACCCCAAGCCCCGACGTCCTTCTGAGGACCGGGGCTCGGTGTGGTGCCAGAGGTCGAGAGGCTAGGAGCCTGAGGTTCCCTCAGCCCGACGTCCTTCTGAGGACCGGGTCTGGACGGGCCAGTGGTCAGGGACCCACCGGTGCCAGCGGTGGGTCAGCCTCCCCTAGGTCCAGCCAGTCGGAGGGCTAGAGTAGTAGCAGTCAGGACAGTGGTTAGGGTAAGATAGCCCGGAGGCTGTTGTACCTCCACAGGTTGTGGGTAGAAGGAGGCCATTACCCCTTCGTGTTAAGTCCTAGTGAGTGTTGTTAAAAGATATCAACTAAACGTGTTGCTTCCTACCACGACTCCGTCTCAACATACACTTGCATCCCACTGGGATTTTTTTTTCTGCACACAGCGTTTGAAACGCGGCGCTTTATCTGGAAGACTTTTGCTGGGTTTTTTTCTCCAGGATTTTTCCGTTGCGTGCAGTCACTTTAAGACGTTTTTTTGCCCGTGCTTTTTGTTTTTTTGTTGTTGTCGCGGTTGCACCAGAGTCAAGAGCCGCATGGCTCACAGGGTCATGCCTAACACATGGTACTGAAAACTGAGTGACCGCCGCTGCTGGCCGCTCACCTGGGCAGGTAGTTGCACACGAACACGTGGGCATTCTTCACATCCAGGTTCTTCACGGTCGGGCAGAGGTGGGACCCACAGCCCACCTCCTCGGCGGTGGCCCACACCAGCTGTAACGGGGCCGACGAAAAAACAAAGGCAAAGACAGAGATCCCCCGTGCAGCCTTAACAGACTGTAGGGGCAAGTGCCGTTCGCGAGCAGCACTCTATGAAGGCCGGCACGGCACACGAGGGGGTGGGTGGTCAGCACCGTGCCCGACCGCCTTTGTCTCCCCAGTGGCGATGATTATGCATCGCACCAGGTACTCATTTGAGGCTGAGTAGACCTAGCGGAGGCCCGGGACCGGTTCAGAAAATCATCACCGATGTTGGCCGTGAACGGGAATGGAACCCGGGTGACTGGGGTTCGTAGCACAGCGTAGCGTTAACCGCTACACTGCTGTGCACACACACACACACAGACAAAGATCCCCCGTATAGCCTGCACACTGTTTAGGAGCAAGTGCTGTTCGCGAGTAGCACATGTTAAGGCCAGAACAACACACTAGGGGGTGGGTGGCCAACACCACGCCCGGCCGCCTTTGTCTCCCCAGTGGCGATGTTTACACACCGCACCAGGTACCTATTTGAGGTTGAGTCGACCTAGAGGAGGCCCAGGACCCTGGTTCAATTAATCGTCACTGGTGTTGGACGTGAGCGGGTTCGTATCGCAAGTCTCTTCAGGCTGTATGGGGGGTCTTTGTCTTTGGGGTTGTATGAGAGCGGTGGTGGTGGTGTGGGTGTGTACGGTTGGTGGTGGTGTGCGTGTGTAGGGTTGGTGGTGGTGGTGTGGGTTTGTAGGGTTGGTGGTGTGGGTGTGTAGGGTTGGTGGTGGTGTGAGTGTGTAGGGTTGGTGGTGGTGTGTACGGTTGGTGGTGGTGTGGGTATGTAGGATTGGTGGTGTGGGTGTGTAGGGTTGGTGGTGGTTGTGTGGGTGTGTAGGGTTGGTGGTGGTGGTGGTGTGGGCGTGTAGGGTTGGTGGTGGTGTGGGTGTGTAGGGTTGGTGGTGGTGGTGTGGGTATGTAGGGTTGGTGGTGGTGGTGGTGTGGGTGTGTAGGGTTGGTGGTGGTGTGGGTGTGTAGGGTTGGTGGTGTGGGTGTGTAGGGTTGGTGGTGGTGTGGGTGTGTAGGGTTGGTGGTGGTGGTGTGGGTGTGTAGGGTTGGTGGTGTGGTTGTGTAGGGTTGGTGGTGGTGTGGGTGTGTAGGGTTGGTGGTGGTGGTGTGGGTATGTAGGGGTGGTGGTGTGGGTGTGTAGGGTTGGTGGTTGTGGTGTGGGTGTGTAGGATTGGTAGTGTGGATGTGTAGGGTTGGTGGTGGTGTGGGTGTGTAGGGTTGGTGGTGGTGTGGGTGTGTAGGGTTGGTGGTGGTGGTGTGGGTATGTAGGGGTGGTGGTGGTGGTGTGGGTGTGTAGGGTTGGTGGTGGTGGTGTGGGTGTGTAGGATTGGTAGTGTGGATGTGTAGGGTTGGTGGTGGTGTGGGTGTGTAGGGTTGTTGGTGGTGGTGTGGGTGTGTAGGGTTGGTGGTGGTGGTGTGGGTGTGTAGGGTTGGTGGTGGTGGTGGTGTGGGTGTGTAGGGTTGGTGGTGGTGTGGGTATGTAGGGTTGGTGGTGGTGTGGGTGTGTAGGGTTGGTGGTGGTGTGGGTGTGTAGGGTTGATGGTGGTGGTGTGGGTGTGTAGGGTTGGTGGTGGTGTGGGTGTGTAGGGTTGGTGGTGGTGGTTTTGGTGTGTAGGGTTGGTGGTGGTGGTGTGTACGGTTGGTGGTGGTGGTGTGTAGGGTTGGTGGTGGTGTGGGTGTGTAGGGTTGGTGGTGGTGTGGGTGTGTGGAGTTGGTGTGCAGGGTTGGTGGGGTTGCTTGGGAGCGGTGGTGTGTGGTGGTAGTGGTGGTGTAGGGTGTGTTGAGTTGTTGAGGTTGGTGATGGTGTGGGTGTGTAGGGTTGGTGGTGGTGTGGGTGTGTAGGGGTGGTGGTGGTGTGGGTGTGTAGGGTTGGTGGTGGTGGTGGAGTGGGTGTGTAGGGTTGGTGGTGGTGTGGGTATGTAGGGTTGGTGGTGGTGTGGGTGTGTAGGGTTGTTGGTGGTGTGGGTGTGTAGGGTTGGTGGTGGTGGTGTGGGTTTGTAGGGTTGGTGGTGTGGGTGTGTAGGGTTGGTGGTGGTGTGGGTGTGTACGGTTGGTGGTGGTGTGGGTATGTAGGATTGGTGGTGTGGGTGTGTAGGCTTGGTGGTAGTGCTGTGGGTGTGTAGGCTTGGTGGTGGTGCTGGTGCGACCACTACCTGCGTGTAGTGGCCGCACATCTTCCCCGCTGCGCACAAATTGTTCGCGAACGAGTAGTCTCTGCGCTCCGCGTACCAGGCGTGCACCGCCGCTGTCTCGTTGAGCGACACGGACGACACGAGGTAGAGATTCTCTCCGACGCTGTCCAGCCCAGCCGCGCTGTGCTCCCAGGCGCAGGTGCGGGCGTACAACAGCGCCTGCGAAGCCAGCTCCGGATTCCAGCGCTGTGTGAAGGTGTGGCGGATGGGGGGTCGGTTGGTGGGTTGGTTGGTTGGTGGTGTTGTGGTGGGGTCGGTTGGTGTGTTGGTTGGTGGTGTTGTGGCGTGGGTTGGTTGGTTGGTTGGTGGGTTGGGTGGTGGTGTTGTGGTGTGGTCGGTTGGTGGGTTGGTGGTTGTGGTGGGGTTGGTGTGTTGGTGGTTGTGGTGGGGTTGGTGTGTTGGTGGTTGTGGTGGTGTTGGTGTGTTGGTGGTTGTGGTGGGGTTGGTGTGTTGGTGGTTGTGGTGGGGTTGGTGTGTTGGTGGTTGTGGTGGGGTTGGTGTGTTGGTGGTTGTGGTGGGGTTAGGGTGTGTTGGTGGTTGTGGTGGGGTTGGTGTGTTGGTGGTTGTGGTGGGGTTGGTGGTTGTGGTGGGGTTGGTGTGTTGGTGGTTGTGGTGGGGTTGGTGTGTTGGTGGTTGTGGTGGGGTTGGTGTGTTGGTGGTTGTGGTGGGGTTGGTGTGTTGGTGGTTGTGGTGGATAGGGGGGTAAGGGGTGGGAAGAGGGGGGGGAGGTCAGTGACAAGGAGGGGGGGAGGGCAGTGACAAGGGGGGGGGGGGGGTAGCGACATGGGGGGGGGGGGGTTCACAAATAAAAACTTTGCTGCACCACCACGTGGGCAGCTGCCAACGAGCCTCTCTCCCTGCACGTGGCCCAGGCAGCACCGTCTATAGGTGGTGGGTGGGGGGGGGGTTGAGGTTGGGGGGTTGGGGGGCAGGGCACTCGGTACCAGCACGGATGTGGAAGTTTCGCTCTCAAAGCCTGGAACCCCTTATCAGTGCCCCAGCTTGTTACAGACCAATTCGGACATTACTGAACTCACCCCGTGCCCCTTATGAATCTCAACGTTCATCCTACAAAGTCCCATCGCAAGGGACAAAACGCAGGAACAAAAACGGGGGTTTTTGTTGCCCCTATTGTAACGCAGCAATGGACCTGAACAACTTCAATTTCTCCGTACAAATAATTATAGGCGGTCGAGCGCAATACGTTGGCAAGCAATGCGCTCTGCAAGTCTTAACGGTCTAGAAAAGCACGCACCACCACCACCACCACCTCCACCACCACCACCTCCACCACCACCTCCACCACCACCACCTCCACCACCTCCACCACCACCTCCACCACCTCCACCACCACCACCTCCACCCCCACCACAACCACCCCCACCACCCCCACCACCACCACCACCACCACCTCCACCACAACCACCTCCACCACCTCCACCACCACCTCCACCACCACCTCCACCACCACCACCACCACCACCTCCACCCCCACCACCACCTCCACCACCACCACCTCCACCACCTCCACCACTACCACCACCACCTCCACCCCCACCACCACCTCCACCACCACCTCCACCACCACCACTACCACCCCCACCACCACCACCACCTCCACCACCACCACCACCTCCTCCACCACCACCACCACCACCTCCACCCCCACCACCTCCACCACTACCACCACCACCTCCACCCCCACCCCCTCCACCACCTCCACCCCCAGCACAACCACCACCACCACCACCTCCACCACTACCACCACCACCTCCACCCCCACCACCACCTCCACCACCACCACCCCCACCACAACCACCTCCACCACCACATCCACCTACTACCTCTCCTCACCGCTCCTCACCACCGCCTCACCACCACGCTTCACCAATCCCCCTTCAGCACTCCCTACTACCTCTCCTCACCGCCCCCTCACCACCGCTCCTCACCACCACGCTTCACCACTCCTCACCACCCCTCCGCACCGATCACCGGGGCCCTCACCGCTGCTCACCAAACCGCCTCACCAGTGCCATCATGTCCGCGGCCGGCGGATCCACCTGCCCGCGCAGCTCGTTGTGAGCGTCCACCACGGCGCGTCTCAGCTCGGCGTCCACCACGGCCCCCTGGGCTGACGACCCGCGGGCGATCAGCAGCGCCGCGACCATCGCCATCCTCACCATGGTCCTCACCACCACCGCCGCCGTCGTCGTCATCCTCACCATGGTCCTCACCACCACCGTCGTTGTCGTCGCCCGGGAGATTTGTTTGACTCGCCGACGCACGCGCGCTGGCACACACTGGCACACACACACAGACTGACACACACACACACACTGGCACACTCACACACTGGCACACACACACACACTGACACACACACACACTGGCACACTCACACACTGGCACACACACGCACTGACACACACACACTGACACACACACACTCACACTGACACACTCTCACACACACACTGGCACACACACACACACTGGCACACACACACACACTGACACACACACACACACTGGCACACTCACACACTGGCACACACACTGACACACTCTCACACACACTGACACACTCTCACACACACACTGGCACACACACACACTGACACACACACTGCCACACTCTCACACACACACTTACACACACACACTGACACACACACACACACTGGCACACTCACACACTGGCACACACACTGACACACTCTCACACACACTGACACACTCTCACACACACACACTGGCACACACACACACTGACACACACACACACTGCCACACTCTCACACACACACTGGCACACACACACACTGGCACACACTCTCACACACACACTGACACACTCTCACACACACTGGCACACTCTCTCACACACTGGCACACTCTCTCACACACACTGACACACTTTCTCACACACTGGCACACCCTCTCTAACACACTGGCACACACTCTCACACTGATGCTTGCGTACACCGTAACACACTCGCACTGGCAAGCGCACACTGACTCGCTCGCACTGATACACACTGATACACACACGGGCCCACGTTACAGCTACACATACACACCGTGCAACACAGCTACACCTGCAAGCAACACACACACCTCGTGCAACACAGCTACACACAGACAGGCAACACACACACCGTGATACACAGCTACACACACACAGGCAACACACACACCTTGATACACAGCTACACACACACAGGCAACACACACACCGTGTTACACAGCTACACACACACACAGGCAACACACACACCGTGCTACACAGCTACACACACACACAGGCAACACACACACCGTGTTACACAGCTACACACACACACAGGCAACACACACACACCGCGTTACACAGCTACACACACAGGTAACACACACACACCGTGTTACACAGCTACACACACACAGGAAACACACACGCACAGTGTTACACAGCTACACACACACAGGCAACACACACACCGTGTTACACAGCTACACACACACACAGACAACACAAACACCGTGTTACACAGCTACACACACAGGCAACACACACACACCGTGTTACACAGCTACACACACACAGGAAACACACACGCACAGTGTTACACAGCTACACACACACAGGCAACACACACACCGTGTTACACAGCTACACACACACACAGGCAACACACACACCGTTACACAGCTACACACACACACAGGCAACACACACCGTGTTCCACAGCTACACACACAGGCAACACACACACCGTGATACACAGCTACACACACACACAGGCAACACACACGCACAGTGTTACACAGCTACACACACACAGACAGGCAACACACACACCGTGTTACACAGATACACACACACACAGGTAACACACACACCGTGTTACACAGCTACACACACACAGGCAACACACACACCGTGTTACACAGATACACACACACAGGCAACACGCACACCGTGATACACAGCTACACACACACATACAACAGACACACCGTGTTACACAGCTACACACACACAGGCAACACACACACCGTTACACAGCTACACACACACAGGCAACACACACACCGTGTTACACAGCTACACACACAGCCAACACACACACCGTGGTACACAGCTACACACACACACAGGTAACACACACACCGTGTTACACAGCTACACACACACATGCAACACACACACCGTGTTACACAGCTACACACACACAGGCAACACACACACCTTGATACACAGCTACACACACAGGCAACACACACACCGTGTTACACAGATACACACACAGGCAACACACACACACCGTGTTACACAGATACACACACAGACAACACACACACCGTGTTACACAGTTACACACACACAGGCAACACACACACCGTGTTACACAGATACACACACAGGCAACACACACACACCGTGTTACACAGATACACACACAGACAACACACACACCGTGTTGCACAGCTACACACACACCGTGATACACAGCTACACACACACATACAACACACACACCGTGTTACACAGCTACACACACAGGCAACAGACACACCGTTACACAGATACACACACAGGCAACACACACACACCGTGTTACACAGCTACACACACACAGGCAACACACACACCGTGTTACACAGCTACACACACAGGTAACACACACACCGTGGTACAAAGCTACACACACACACACAGGCAACACACACACCGTGTTACACAGCTACACACATACACAGGCAACACACACCGTGTTACACACACACACCGTGTTCCACAGCTACACACACAGACAGGCAACACACACACCGTGCTACACAGCTACACGCATACAGGCAACACACACACCGTGTTACACACACACACCGTGATACACAGCTACACACACACACAGGTAACACATACACCGTGACACACACACACAGCTACACACACACCGTGATACACACACACGCACAGGCAACACACACCGTGTTACACAGCTACACACACAGGCAACACACACACCGTGTTACACAGCTACACACACACAGGCAACACACACACCGTGATACACAGCTACACACACACACGTAACATACACACCGTGATACACACACACACAGCTACACACACACCGTGATACACACACACAGGCAACACACACACCGTGTTACACAGCTACACACACACAGGCAACACACACACCGTGTTACACAGCTACACACACACAGGCAACACACACACCGTGTTACACACACAGCTACACACACACCGTGATACACACACACAGCTACACACACACCGTGATACACACACACACAGCTACACACACACCGTGATACACACACACAGCTACACACACACCGTGATACACACACACACACACAGCTACACACACACAGGCAACACGCAACTTACATGCTCCCGTGTGCGGACTCGGCGTGGAGTGGGCGCCACTGATGACCACGCAGAGACGTCCCGGAGTGTAGGGCCACTGTGTGTGTGTGTGTGTGTCACTGTGTGTGTGTCACTGTGTGTGTGCGTGTGTGTCACTGTGTGTGTATGTCACTGTGTGTGTGTCATTGTGTGTGTGTCACTGTGTGTGTGCGTGTCTGTCACTGTGTGTGTATGTCACTGTGTGTGTGTCACTGTGTGTGTGTCACTGTGTGTGTGTGTCACTGTGTGCGTGTCACTGTGTGTGTGCGTGTGTGTCACTGTGTGTGTGTCACTGTGTGTGTGCGTGTGTGTCACTGTGTGTGTGTCACTGTGTGTGTGTGTCACTGTGTGTGTGCGTGTGTGTCACTGTGTCTGTATGTAGCTGTGTGTGTGCGTGTGTGTCACTGTGTGTGTCACTGTGTGTGTGCGTGTGTGTCACTGTGTGTGTGTCACTGTGTGTGTGCGTGTGTGTCACTGTGTGTGTGTCACTGTGTGTGTGTGTCACTGTGTGTGTGCGTGTGTGTCACTGTGTGTGTATGTAGCTGTGTGTGCGTGTGTGTCACTGTGTATGTGTCACTGTGTGTGTGCGTGTGTGTCACTGTGTGTGTATGTAGCTGTGTGTGCGTGTGTGTCACTGTGTGTGTGTCACTGTGTGTGTGCGTGTGTGTCACTGTGTGTGTGTCACTGTGTGTGTGTCACTGTGTGTGTGCGTGTGTGTCACTGTGTGTGTGTCACTGTGTGTGTGCGTGTGTGTCACTGTGTGTGTATGTCACTGTGTGTGTGTCACTGTGTGTGTGTCACTGTGTGCGTGTCACTGTGTGTGTGCGTGTGTGTCACTGTGTGTCACTGTGTGTGTGCGTGTGTGTCACTGTGTGTGTATGTAGCTGTGTGTGCGTGCGTGTCACTGTGTATGTGTCACTGTGTGTGTGCGTGTGTGTCACTGTGTGTGTATGTAGCTGTGTGTGTGCGTGTGTGTCACTGTGTGTGTGTCACTGTGTGTGTGCGTGTGTGTCACTGTGTGTGTATGTAGCTGTGTGTGTGCGTGTGTGTCACTGTGTGTGTGTCACTGTGTCTGTGTGTGTCACTGTGTGTGTGTGTGTCACTATGTGTATCACTGTGTGTGTGTCACTGTGTATGTGTGTGTATCACTGTGTGTGTGTGTGTCACTGTGTATGTAACTCTATGTAGCAGCGGCAGTGTAGCGGTTAGCGGGTCCAGCGACCCGAGTTCGATTCCCGCTCGCGGCCGTCAACACCGATGTTAGATTATCTGAACCGGTCCTGGGGCCTCCCCTAGGTCGACTCAGCCTCAAATGAGTACCTGGTGCGGTGTGTAAACATCGCCACTGCGGAGACAAAGGCGATCGGGCGTGGTGCTGGCCACCCACCCCCTCGTGTGCCGTGCCGGCCTTAATAAGTGCTCGCAAGCAGCACTTGCCCCTACCGTGTGTGAAGCCTATATGGGGATTCTCTGTCTTTCTTCGCCAGAGACGACCTGGGCGTGGGAGTGATTACGTTCGTGATGCATGGATAGCGATGATGATGATGATGGATGTGATAACAATGTTGACGACACTCACTGTGTGTGTGTGTCACTGTGTGTGTGTGTCACTGTGTGTATGTCACTGTGTGTGTGTCTGTGTGTGTCACTGTGTGTGTGTCAATGTGTGTGTGTGTATCACTGTGTGTGTGTCTGTGTGTATCACTGTGTGTGTGTCTGTGTGTGCGTGTCAATGTGTGTGTGTCACTGTGTATGTGTGTGTGTCACTGTGTGTGTGTCAGTGTATGTGTGTATGTCACTGTGTGTGTGTGTCTGTGTGTGTCACTGTGTGTGTGTGTCAATGTGTGTGTGTGTGTCAATGTGTGTGTGTGTGTATCACTGTGCGTGTGTGTGTGTGTATCACTGTGTGTGTCTTTGTGTGTCACTGTGTGTGTCTGTGTGTGCGTGTCAATGTGTGTGTGTATCACTGTGCGTGTGTATCACTGTGTGTGTGTGTCACTGTATATGTGTGTGCGTCACTGTGTGTGTGTGTGTCACTGTGAGTGTGTGTGTATCACTGTGTGTGTATCTACAGTATTCCAGTGTTGGAGGCAGTCGCCCTCCAGCAACAGCAGAACGCAGAGGAGCGACGCTCACAACAACGAGCGGAGCGCCGGGTCGGATAAAACGCAGCCAAAATTTGGCACAGTATGGTCATCTCAGTCAGTCGACACGTGGCACTTGCTGGGTCTGCCCCGTGACCTGGTGCACCTAGCCTGGCACAGTAGGGGGGCACAGGGTGGTGCATCTGCTGGTCATCTCAGTCGGTCGACCCGTGGCACCTGCTGGGTCTGTCCCGTGACCTCCTGCCGGCGGGCCATTCGACGCTGGCGTCAAGGTGCACCTAGCCTGGCACGGCCACGGACCAACCCCTGTGACGATTTATCTGAACCGGTCCTGGGCCTCCCCTAGGTCGACTCAGCCTCAAACGAGTACCTGGTGTGGTGTGTAGTAAACATCGCCACTGGGGAGACAAAGGCGACCGGGCGTGGTGCTGGCCACCCACCCCCTCGTGTACCGTGCCGGCCTTCGTAGGTGCTACTCGATTGACCGAGCCATTGTGTGGGGGTGAGTGCGTGGGTGAGTGGGTGGGTGAGTGGGTGAGTGAGTGAGTGGATGAGTGGGTGAGCGGGTGGGTGAGTGGGTGGGTGAGTGAGTGAGTGGGTGGGTGAGTGGGTGAGTGAGTGGGTGGTTGAGTGAGTGGGTGAGTGTGTGAGTGGGTGGGTGAGTAGGTGGGTGAGTGGGTGAGTAGGTGGGTGAGTGGGTGAGTGAGTGGGTGGTTGAGTGAGTGGGTGAGTGGGTGGGTGAGTGGGTGGGTGAGTGGGTGGGTGAGTGGGTGGGTGAGTGAGTGGGTTGGTGAGTGGGAGGGTGAGTGGGTAAATGAGTGGGTGAGTGGGTGGGTGAGTGAGTGGGTGAGTGAGTGGGTGGGTGAGTGGGTGGGTGAGTGGGTGGGTGAGTGGTTGAGTGAGTGGGTGGGTGAGTGGGAGGGTGAGTGGGTGAGTGGGTGAGTGGGTGGGTGAGTGGGTGGGTGAGTGGGTGAGTGGGTGGGTGAGTGGGTGAGTGAGTGGGTGAGTGAGTGGGTGGTTGAGTGAGTGGGTGGGTGAGTGGGAGGGTGAGTGGGTGAGTGGGTGAGTGAGTGGGTGAGTGGGTGAGTGGGTGGGTGAGTGGGTGAGTGAGTGGGTGGGTGAGTGGGTGGGTGAGTGGTTGAGTGAGTGAGTGGGTGAGTGAGTGGGTGGTTGAGTGAGTGGGTGAGTGGGTGAATGGGTGGGTGAGTGGGTGGGTGAGTGGGTGAGTGAGTGGGTGGTTGAGTGAGTGGGTGAGTGGGTGGCTAGACACTGGCATCCTTCACCACGCCCAGCTGCTGGGCGTGCCCCCAAACCCCGCTGAGACAATACCCAGCCCCCCCACAACGTTGAGACAATACCCCCCACACACACCCATCCAGCCCCCCACACCGAGCCCCCCACCCCTTCCCATCCTGGCCGTCGACAACAACAATAGCTGGGCACGTTCTGTCGGCCCCAGCGTCTCACTCTAAAACAACATTGGGGGCTGTGGGAAACGCGACCCGAGCCGTTACCGTTTAGCCTGAGCCGAACCCAGATCCTGATCCTAACACAGATCATGATCCTAACCCAGACCCTGATCCTAACCAAGACCCTGATCCTAACCCAGACCCTGATCTTAACCAAGACCCTGATCCTAACACAAACCCTGACCCTAACCCTGACCCTAACCCTGACCCTAACCCTGACCCTAACCCTGACCCTAACCCTGACCCTAACCCTGACCCTAACCCTGACCCTGCAAGGAGCCTCCACGAGAGAGGCAGGGCCACAGAGAACCCCGCTAAACGGGGCACTGTGGCCGAACCTTTCACGACTCGCCGGCCGGACAACTCTCAGAAGAGCTGGCAGCACCCACGCTTTACCCCACCTCCATGTGTGCGTGTGTGCGTGTGTGTGCGTGCGTGTGTGTGTGTGCGTGTGTGTGTGCGTGTGTGTTGGCACAGTAGGGGGCACAGGTGGTGCATCAGCCAGTCATCTAGTCAGTCGACCCGTGGCACCTGGGTCTGCCCAGTGACCTCCTGCCAGCGGGCGTTCGACACTTCACGTGGCCTCACGGTGCACATAGCCTGGCACAAGCGTCGTGGTGACGTCACCGCCACTTAGTGGCGAATGGCGGTTGTTGTTGTTGTGTGTGCGGGCGTGCGTGTACGTGTGTGCGTGCGTGCGTGTGCGTGTGTACGTGTGTGCGTGTGTATGTGTGTGTGCGTGTGTGTGTGGGAGCGATAGTGTAGCGGTTCGCGCTACGCTGCTGTGCTACGAACCTGGCGACCCGGGTTCGATTCCCGCTCATGGCACAACATCGGTGACGATTATCTGAACCGGTCCTGGGCCTCCCCTAGGTCGACTCAGCCTCAAATGATTACCTGGTGCGATGTGTAAACATCGCCACTGGGGAGTGGTTGCTGGCTACCCACCCCCTCGTGTACCGTTCCGGCCTTCATAGGGGCTATCACCGCTGGCGATTATTTGAAACCGGGACTCCCCCAGGTCGACTCGGCGTCAAATGAGCCACCAGGCGTGACGTGTTACCATCGACGCTGGGGAGACAAAGGCGGCCCGGCGTGGTTGCTGGCCACTCCACCCACTCGTGTGCCACAGTGCCGGCCTTACATAGGGTGCTGCTACTCGCTAACAGCACTTGCCCCAACAGTCTGGCAAGGCTATGCGGGGGTTCTTTGTCTTTGTACGAGGAGGGGTAGCGTAGCGTGAGTTGGCACACCGCGATACGAACCCGGCGACCTGAGTTCGATGGCCCCGCTCACGGCCACCACCAAGTGACGATTATTCGAACCGGTCCTGGGGGGGGGGTGGGGGGGGGCTCCCCTAGGTAAACATCGCCACTGGGGAGACAAAGGCGGCCGGGCGTGGTGCTGTCCACCCACACCCCACATTGATCGGTGCTCGCTAGCGGCGTGGCTGATCTTTTTTCTACTGTGCATGTGTATGTTTCTGCGTGGATTTGTACACCCATTGCAAGTGCCGTGTCTGTGTGGAGCTGCGTTTGTGCATGCC